CATTTTCACTTTTCCCTCCAACATCTTTCTCTAATTCCCTCACTTTTTTGTTTTATTTTCAACTTTTCTTAACATTTTCATTTTCCCTCCATTTTTTTTTCAAAAAGGGCGGCAAGTTGGCAAATGGCAATGGCAAAAAATTGATTATTGAAATTTGAATGGAAACAAATCACATCTGACGCATCAAATTTCAATGGATGCAAAATCATGCAAATATGCAATGCATGATCATGCATATTAAATTATTAATTATTATAGTTTTTATAAAATTTAATATATATATATATATATAATTATTATAGATAGACTTAATATTTTGGGGGTATAATTATTATAGTATATATAATTATTATAATTATTATAAATTTTATAGTTAATTTAATATATATATATATATATATATATTAATTATAATTTTTAGGGGTATAAAATTGTAAAATTAATGTATATAATTATTACAGTATTTTTTTAGGATTATAAAATTATAAAAATAATATTTTGCTTATCGTGTATCGTGTTACCCACATGTATACCCGAACCAACCCGTTATCTTAACAGGTGCTTATCGGGTTACCCGATAAGACCCGATTCGTTATCGTGTCGACCCAAACACCTGTTAATTTCGTGTCATGTCGTATCGGGTTATCGGGTCGTGTCAGAAATTGCCAGGCCTAGAACAACTCACAGGTCCCTGCACACCCGAAACCCCAGCCAGTAACCGCCGCTTCAAACTTGCCATGCCCAGTTTTTCTGCAACCTGCCGCTGCTGTTGACTGAAGCCAAGAAACAATCCCACATCGCCGCCACGCCCACCATGCCCGCCTTGAACTAGAACCCGCCCTGCAATCTGGCCTCCGCATCAGACCTGTCTCTGTCAAGCCGTACCAGATCCCTTGCACCACTGTACCCACTGTATGCGCACCTCCATCTAATCACTGCACTCGCAGTTGTATTGTTCGTTAGAAAACCACAGCCCAGAAAAAGTCGTTGAAAGGAAGGAGAAAAGAAAAAAAGAGAGAAGAAAATAAGAAAGAGGATAAAAAAAAAATGAAATTATTTTTGGATGTTTGTTTTAGGCCCAGACGGGCAAATAAAAAAATATGGTTAAGTTTGTTTTAGGCCCGCATGAATTGTTGGTTGGCCTGTTTGGAATTGTTTTGTGACCGTCACTCGAGTGTTTGGATCTGTGACCACTCGAGTGGTAGTACTTTGTTTTTGTTTGTTCGTAGTTACAATTGAGATATGGAAATCTTGTTTGTTTAGTGATGGGTTCTTTTAATACTCTCAACACTAGCCAGTCTGAATCAGAATCAGTTTGCCAGCCATAATCAATTTGCCAGCCAGAATCAGCTTGCCAATAAGAATCAGTTTGCCAAACCAGCCAAGGAAAGTCAAGTTCGCCAGTCAAGTCAAATCCAGTCAAGTTTGCATGCCTGCCAGTCCGCCTAACGGAGCCAGTCTGCATTTGCTTATTTGCAAACCCATGTCATATACCGCCATGAGTTTGACAAGGGGTGTTGGAAAATATTAGTATTTTGGTTTATTTGAATGTTTGGTTTTCTGGGCTTAGCCCATTAGCATTAGGGTTTTGATTTCTTACCTTTTAGGATTAGGGTTAGTTTATTATAAATAGCATGTTTGTTATTCAGTCGATAACAAGTTAGTCACGATGTAGCCTCTTAGGGTTTTGTAGCCGGCATTCTTATCTATTAATAATATTCTTATTATTTTATAGTCATGTTTTGTACTATTATTCAACTTTAATTGCACATTAACACAAAAGAGGTTAAAATGCAACCAGTTTAACTCAAAAATATCACAAAGAGATTAGGAATGGACGGAATAAATATATGAAAAATATGAGTTATCTGTTATCCACTAATCCTTAGATATATTGTTTTCAGCTTAATTTAATTTCAGGTATTCATAAAAGACAAAAGTAGGAAGAAATTAATCAATACCATATAGAAAAAAATCAAAAGTAATTAGGTTCACATCCTTCTTTTAGTTACTCCATTGATTAAAATCCTATTCATTTTTAATTTTTTATTAAGGTCCTGGGGTATTAATAACATCATTAATTATTTGAATAATAAAATATTTTTATTTTTAAAATATATTCCTTTAGTGTTAAAAATGTTACAATTAGTATATTTATATTTATGGCTAAATTTTTTATCATATATTTTTATTTTTAGTTTGTACCTATTTTTAATTTGTAAATATTTTTTAATTTGTACCAATTTTCTTTTCATTTTTAATTTGTACCCATATATTAATTTCTTTTTGTGCCCATATTTTTTAAAGTTTTATTTGTGTTTGTACCCATGTGTACACTTTCACGTGACATTGCATATTTAATCAATGATAGAAAAATTACATATTTTATATTTATGTTTTATGCCTAAACTTTGTATCAGATATTTATATGTTTAGTTTGTACCCACTTTTAATTTGCAACATTTTTTTTTTAATTTGTAGTATTTTCTTTTTACTTTTTTTTTGTACACACGTATTAAAATATTTTTTTTAAAATTCATTTGTACTCATAATTTTTTAATCTTTTATCTGTACCCTCATTTATTTATAATCTACCCATTCTTCTTTATTAATGTACCACTTTGTTATATGTGAAATGTACCAATTTTTTTAACACTATGGATACATTCTTTTGCCATTTATTATTTCTTATTTTCGCATAGTTTTTATCCATTTATTCAATCAAAATGTTTGAATTATTTTATTGTAACTGTTTCTAATAGTATTATAATGAGGGATTTTAAATTTATAGGATTATAAATCTCATAAAATATCAAACAATTAATGTCAAAACTATAAAAGTAGTAATATAATAGTAATATAATGAGGTGTACAAAGTCAAGGGACTTGGATCAAACTTTGAATACTATTAAGGTTTTAATCAAAGAATGTTAAGGATTAAGGACCACATCCAAAGTATCCCTAAATTAAAACACCAAATTTCAAATTGATGGATATGCACAAGTGTGTATAAATAATGTTTGAAACGGTGAACAATACACCAGTATTTGAAGCCAACTCATATATCAAAACTGCCAGTGGTTATAAAAGAAGCAGCTCCTAAACCCTACTATATATCATATGGCCAAGTTGATCGGTAAGGCCAAGAATCGATCCCTAATTCAAGGTAACAAAGTGCCAAATTCACTACAACAATATGCATATTTTAGTGACAAGAAAAAGGAAAAGAAATTTGATGCAGAGAAAAAAAAAAAAAAAAAAAATTGATGAATGATGGATGAGAAGAAGAAAAAGAACTTACAAGAAGGCTAAAACCAGTGACATTGGTGAGAGAGATGGCAATTGCAACACTAGAGAGTGACAGCTGATTAAGATGTCCAACCATTATCATGGATACCAGTTGCAGGAGATACTGCAGCACTGAGACTGCCACCATTGAGCAGCTGTAAAACCTTCCTTCTTCACCTCACTCAGAAATGTACCCCATGTTACGGGCCATGTCTTCTCTTCTTTCATCTCCGCCATCTCTTGCTCCATAGTCTCCGCCTTCTGCACTCCCCTCGCTTAATTATACCCGCTTAGATATCCGAGACGAGCTGTATATTGTGTGAAGTGAATATACATACATGTATACACACACACACACATATATAGATGTATGTATATATTTGAGTTTCAGAAGAGAAGCATGAATGACCAGCCTATATTCCTTAAGTTGGCTATCAGTTTATGCATGGTGTTATATGTCGTTTGCCGTCTTTACCGGCCTATAGAGACAAAGTTGGACTCCTCCAACATTGATTTAATCAATAATTAATGAGAACATATGAAGTGACGTTTGTTTTATCTTTTTACTTTGTGACAAACAGCCAGTCAAAAGTAAACGCAGATGTAGATTATTTTTTTATTATTATTTAGTTATTGGATTTTGTCTGTAAGATTTAGAGACTCCAAAGCCAAAAGGATGGACACGGTTTGGTTAAATATAGTTTTGAGGTGAAATTAAAATTACAATTGAATTTTTTGCAGTTCTGTTCGGTATAGTTTTGATGCTTGAACCGAATTGAAACGATCACTCTTTAAAGAATAACATTTAACATTACAGATGAAAAATTATATACAGGCTATATGTGAGAAGTTTACTATTAATATTACTGTGACCTTTTCTTAATAGAACTTTTCGCATAGTATGATTAAAATGGGACAATGTAGATGATGCTGTCAGTGTACGACGTAGGGTGTAAGAAGTTTATAACCTTCCACCACGCCTCCTCTTCTTCTCCAATCGACGCTAATGGTCAAGGGATCTTCTCGAAGAAAGTGGCATGATGGGAGACGATGCCGTCAGAGGAATTGGACCAGTAGCGTTTTGGATTGTTTTATTATCACCTCACATATTAGTAAATACATTATATGTTAAAATATATAAAGTTCTGAATACACCTCAAATTACTATCCAAATTTTTTTATTTTTTTCAAGCTCTCAAAACCACTCACAAGTCACAACTTCCATTATAGAATAAAACTCAACACATAAATGTAGAAACACGTCGATAAAAAAAACTTATTTGGACAAATAAAACGTGCAATCAACATTTTAGCTCTTTATTAGACTCATTTGTAAGGGGTTCTTTGAAAGCACTTCCGCTCAAAAGCGTTTCTTGTAAAAGCACTTCAATTACACTCCGCTTCTTTTAGAAAAATTTCAAAGGAATCTTTAACCCAAAAGTACTTTTAACTTTTTAATGCCGACATGATCAAAAGTTTTTGGTGATCTAAAAACGTTTTAGTTAACAAACCTTCAAATGTTGAAATCAATAGAGAAATGCAAGAACTTGTACAATTACAAATGGACTGATTTGCACAGGACTCAGACAAGCACGATAAGTATTCATAAACCATCAATCATTAAAAAAAAAAATAAAAAAACATAAACTCCTCCGCTTTCCAACCGTTCTTCCAACATCTCTATACCACATCTAAAATAAAAATACAGTTCCTTGAGGTAATGGCATTCATTTGAAACTCTCTTCGATTTACACGCCTAACGAAACTGTGAGATTAGTGTAATTCGTAATAATTGACAACTCCAAATCTCATGCATGTTTACATTATTCATACAGAAGCACGTTTACACGGAGAAATGAGCGCGCTAAAACGCAGCTCAGGCTTACATCAGTTCTTGTGTTGAAGCCTCCCACTTTCAGCACCAGCATAAGGATCGATAATTACATTTATAACAGCTGGTTTTCGTGCCGAGAAGGATTCTGAAAGGGCGGACTTGAGTTCTTCAGGTGTCCCAACAAGATAGCCTTTGCCTCCAAAAGCTTCAATCAGAGTGTGATAACCCGCACTTGGGACGAAGGAAGTGGGAGCAGGGTCATCCTTGTAAGGCCCACTAATTTCATCCGGGCTTCTTCGATCGCCCCCATATACACCACCATTGTTAAAGACTATCACAACAATAGGTAACTGGTATCGAACCAATGTCTGCAGAAATCAAAGACAAAGTATACACGAATGATATTGTCTCTTGTACAGCCCGAGAAACGCATATACACACATCATAAACAGACAGACAAGCAATAAGATAAACATTATCAATGGGCATTGACCAAGCATAAAACATTGATGATATAATGGAAAATTTGTAAGGGAATCTTGATTACAGGAAAGAAATTTCAAAGGGTGATCATGGAAGAGAAATCAAATTTTCTAACAAAATTGCTTCTAGCCCACTAATCTTAACAAAAGCTGCGCTCAGCAATAAGGGAAAATTGTGAATAGGGGAACAAAGTATGGCAATGTGTCGAGGTCAAGCTTTCAACGACCGTTTCTTTCCTTTTTCTTTTCCTGATTATACAGAAGACCACCAGACCCTCTTCAAACTTTGGACCAAAGACACTACCAACGACATCTCTCACCAGAAACTATGCCTTATCTTTACTCGAACTATGAGAAAAGATGGCCTTACCTACGACATCTCTCAAAAGATGGCCTTACTCCAACTATGTTTTTTTGTCAGACAATGTAAATCCTATGTATTTAGAAACCTATTGTCGCATGAATTCTCAATACACCACCAATGTAACCCAAATGATGGAACTTTGGTCCGCTACTAGTACTAACCACCAAAACCTAACTTGCTGAAGCTTTCAGAGAGAGAAGTCTGACCATCATTTACCTCAAAGTAGCACAACTACAACAAAAACAGCAAATGTCTACCATTTGTTTAAATGTCTCCAGGACTGTGTGCTCTATAAGTAAGACACAAGGGTAGATATCTACCAAGAAAATCACAAATATCAAGTCATTCTCTAAATCTCAACACATTTTGAGAAAAAACTGTACATGCTTCAAGCTGTCTTTGTTACGTATTCCAAAAGTTTCTAATACAAAGGAAAGCCAACATCAGACTCAATGTGGAGATGATGGAGGTCATGGCCCCTGCAAAATTTTCAAACAAAAAGTCCTTGCTTATGAAGATAGAGACTAAAAACCTCCAATGTATATAACCGAAAATATGTAGTCCCCCCTCAAGACCCAACTCCTACCGCTCCAAGTATAATCCAGCCTACTTTGTAAGTCCCTTCAGCACTTAAGGTTGCCCATTTTTAACCCCAACTTCAAATAAGATGCTCACTCACTACTTAAGCTAATCATGTCCAAACCCATGCGACTGCATGTTCAAAACTAAACTAATACGACTGGTTAAGCTGTCCAATTATACGTTTCTTTCTCTAATGTCTTTTAAAACAAAAAATAAAAACCAAAAGGGAAAGGAAAATGGTTACTGTTATGTTTAATATTATTTGTACTATTACTTTCACCAACCTAATAAACAACACCTAGGTTGATAATGCAGCACACATGCCATTAAGCATCTCACTTCCAAATTCTTTTTATTCCTATACCTAACACAAAGACCACCAAATTTTCTTCCACATCTTTCGATCTAAACGAAAACCGCATCAAAACCAACAACCGAAAAGCAGATGTCAGATGACTACAAATCAAATTACTCCAACTCTCTAAACCATTAATGAGATTGACCAACTCAGATCCAAAACAATTTCATGGGGAGGAAAAGAAATCACAGTTTCGCAGCACAATCTGTGTGCTTTCAAATGAAAGTATTTATGTAAACAAACAGGTTATCCTTGCTAAAGGATCAATCACAGCTATCAAGCATATCACTAGCAGATAATTTGCCGGAATTAATATTTAATAACCATTAGCACATATTTTTTATGACAACGCATGTGAGGGACCATACCTCAACTTCCATTGCACTGAACCCAAATCCTGAATCCCCTTCCACTGCAACAACAAGCCGGTCAGGAGAAGCTACCGCACCCGCAATGCAGTAACCCAATCCAACCCCCATTGTTCCCCAAGTCCCTGCATCCAACCTGGTCCTCGGCTCGGTCTGAACCAACACAGACCGACCCACATCCATAGTGTTAGCCCCCTCGGAAACCAATATAGGAGCAGGGCTCCCCAACCCTGCAATTGCATCTCTAATAATCTTCATCGGCGTCAAGAAATTAAATGGCACAACTTCCTTAGCCAACTGAGCCTCCATTTTCGAAACATTGTCCTTCACCTTACTCAAAATCGCTGCAACCCACGGATGAGACTTCCCCAAACAAAAAGGGTCATCCTTGATCCCCAAATTGATCTTCTCCAACACCAACTTTGCATCTCCAACCAAACCCAAATGTGGTTTTCGCAGCTCAATCTCTTCCTTACTAACATCAACCAAAATGAACTTCACATCCTTGGACCACTTGGGCGGCTCACCAAAGTGCAAAAGCCAGTTAAGCCTTGCGCCAACGACAAGCACCACGTCACACTTCCCGATCGCCAGAGACCTTGCCGCGGTCGCCGCCAGCTCATGAGTGTCCGGCAACAGCCCCTTCCCCATTGGAGTGGGCAAAAATGGGGTTCCCGTCCTCTCCACCAGCTTACCCAACTCGTTCTCCGCTCGAGCAAATGCAGCTCCTTTACCAAAAACAATCAACGGCCTCTCCGCGTGCCGGAGCAGCGAAACGGCCTCCTCAATCTGCGAATTCTGCACACACGGAACCTTCTCCGACTCTCCGAATTTCTCGGCGGCGGTGGCCAATAAGCTCTCAGCCTCCGCCTCAGAAATTGTCTGGTGCAGTACATCCGAAGGAAAATCCAAATAGCACCCTCCGGGTCGACCCGAACCGGCTTTTGCAAGAGCTTGAAACACGCAATCCGGTATTTCTTTGATTGATTTAGCTTTGGCGGAGAATTTGGAAAAGGGTTCGACGGCGGCGATCTGATCGAGCTCCTGGAAATCTCCGCGGCCGAAATCTTTCTGGTCGCACGAACCCGAGATCATCACCATGGGCCAAGCATTGGCCATGGCGTTGGAAAGACCCGCGAGCCCGTGGACGCATCCGGGACCCGAGACCGTGAGGAGGACTCCGGGTCGACCCGTTAGATACCCGTAGGCTGAGGCGGCGTAACCCGCCGACTGCTCGTTGTGGAAGGCCATAAACCGAACTCCGAGCGAAACCGCGCGGTTCGCGAGCGAGGTGACGGGAATTCCCACGACTCCGAACATGCGGTCGACGCCGAACCGGGCAAGGGCCTTGGCGATCAGCTGGTTGCCATCGAGTGCGGTTGTGGTTGATTCAGCCATTGGATCTGATTGCAGTGCTTCTTATGGTTTGGGGGGAAACGAGTGAGTGGAGTGGGTACATATAGACACAGAAGTTGGACGATTATGCCGCCGAGAGATTGTTGGGAAATGTGTTATGTCGGGGAGGTGGTAGAGAATTTGGAGATGGGTAGATGGAAAAATCAAATTTGATAAGGAATGCTGAGTCAGCCGCGGTTGCTTTTCTGCTTTGGTGGGCGGCGGTCTGTCTGTCAATGGCGAAACGGAACGGGAGCATTTTTGCTAATCCCCATAAAACCCTATGCTCATCAATACTTAATTAAATGACACGTGTCATTTTATTTAATTTTGATTAAAGTGGTTCAGAATTACTAGAGGAAGAATCTAACATCATGCCAGATGGGGAATCAATACCGGTAGATTTACCGGACTGTATCGTGAAATGCAAATCAGCTTTCAAATGCAGGTTATGCCCTAGAATTGTCACATGTGCATGCATGAAATTAAACCAGGAAATAATGTCACATGTGCATGCATGAAATTAACCCATCTCTGCTACTTTATTCTAGGGTATGCCGAGAAAGAGAAGTAAAAGACGGGACAAGAAATCATGGTCGAAAAAGGTAAAAAAACATCACCACTATGTTTGGATATATCTAGGCTTTAAAGTATTTACTCTGTTATGACTTATAACGGATGTTGTAATATGCAGAGGACGAGAAATGGTGGTAAGCAATCCAAAGGGAACCCAGCCAAGAGAAGGCGTGGATAAAGTTCGAAGAATGTTGCTTTTGGTTACGGTCCCGTGAGAGAATACAACTGCGAGAAAGGAAAACAAGGATTTGCTAGGTTTGTACCGAATTAAGGAAGCTATTTTAAGATTTTCATCGCTTCCTAGTGATGTGGCTGAAGGACTGCTTGATAATACTTTGCTCTGTTGTTTACTTTCAGCCAAAATTTTGTTTTAATCTTAGGTTTTATCCCTTCTTATGAAAGAAAGCTTGTTTCGGAACCCACTTAGCTTTTGTCATTAGGAGAATGAAAATGATCACGTCTTGCATTCATAAGATTTTAAGAATCACAGAATTGACTTGACAAGCATAATGTTTACATACCAATTGATGCTAATGCGATGATTGCAAACATTTATCCAAAGAGTAATTATCGGTAGTTCCACAAGGGGGCTAAAACAGATCATTACTGGTCACATGATCTGTACTTAGGCTGGATAATCCGAGTTATGCTACGGTCAGTGAACCAATTGTGCGTGCTTTCTAAGCATTTAACACTCAGACTCACAGTCAATTCAAGGGTCAAACATTGCCCCTTAAACTCGGATAGTTTGAATCGGATGAACTGTAATAAAAGCCACAACAAAAATTATACACAACAGACATCTTGGTTGAATGATTCAGCTCATACACAGGCTAAAATGGAGGCATGGTTCTTCTGTTATGGAGTCAGGGTGTCGATGCAATAACTCAAACATGCTACTGCTAAAATTCTTGGTATAGGCTATCGGACCAATAAAACAAGTGAAACACAGAACCATTGCATTTTACATTTACGACTACCTTGATTACGCAAACTTAAACAAAGAAAAAGCTCCAGAAGTGATATTAGTCCAAAAAGTTAAGATTATACACAAGGTTCGGTGAGATTTCAGGCTAGTAGTGAACATCTGTCTCCTATTGCTACAAATTTGATAATCCCAGTCAGCACAAAATATCACCTGAATGAACGAGACTTCCAACAACCAAAAGTCAGCATAGCTTCCTGAACCGATGTTTACCGTAGCTACAAGGAAGAAGTTATTAACTTCAAAACCCCTTCCCGAGTATGGCCAAAGCATTGGTATCCTTCTAATTTTTGTTGGCAATCGCCAAGTGAAACATTATGCATAATGTTTTCCTAGAAAGAGGATATCAAAAGTCAAAAAGGAATTGGAAGCCTGTGATTCAATACCTAAGGTTTCTGCTCCTCTGAAGGATCTACGGGCAAAATTAGCTGTTCTCTGCTTCCATCCGCCTCATTAGGCTGATCACGTGGAGAGGGTTGTTCTCCACTCTCAGTATTCTCTGGCTGGAAATTGATGGGGAACTTTGTGACCCTGGGCTTATCAGACAAAATGTTTCTTTGAACCCTATCAATCAAGACCTTTGGAGGAGGTTCTTCTCGCAGCTGCTCATCATCATAATCATTGTTAACATAGTAGCCCACTCGGATAAATTCCTGACCAATATAAGAGCAGGTCAACAGAAGCACTGTCACTCCAATGATGTCTTCATCACGAATCTTGGATGGGTCAGGAGGATCTGCCTGCAAAATGATCAACAAAATTAACTGGAGTTGATTCAAATTCAAATGCACCTTGTGGGTCAGATGTGAAAAGAATACGGTAGAAGGATCTAGTGGAAGCTTACCTGTAGTACAAAACGATAGTTTCCAACATTGACGGGCCCAACAAGTACACTCTCCAGTAGTTGGTCATAAGTCTCATCCTCAGCAGATCCCACGTAGATGAGCTTCCATTCCAAATCTGTATTGGCATAAAAATTATTCAACAAGTAAACAAGGCATCCATCCACTTTTAGTTCACCTAGAACTAGAAAAGCATGTGCAACTAGGTGCTACTTCTGCAATCTCAGAAACTCAGCTCCCGATTCCATTCAAGTTCCATGCAAACAATCATCACCATTAGTGAGGGGATGACTCAAGAATCTGAAATAGGATATGATGATTTCCAAAAATTATTAAAGGAAGGGTATGGAACTAGAAGACTAAATCTTTTAACAAGCATCTGTACATAATTACTTTACTGTCTGTTGTCCTCAATAAGTCCGGTTAGGTCAATGCTTCAAGTTGGTGCTACTTGATGGTTAAATAATTTTCTGTCGATCAAAGCTATAAAATTAGAAAGATTTTAGAGTTACAGCTCTACTGTTTGCCTAATTACACGGTGTTACATTTTTCACTCTTTGAAAGATACCTTTCTGGTTTTCTGTTTACAGTTCTATATGCAATACCTACGCAATTATAGCACCTCAGGCAAGTACTATAATTACATTCAAGTGACTGACATGTTAAACAATATTCCATAGCTGAAGCACCTCATCAATGCATCTATTCTTTGCTAAATTTATTTCTATTCCAAAATCCAAATCCATTCACCTTTAGCTGTATTTAATTTAACTGCAAACAGTCTAAATAGATCCAATCGCACATACGACACAAGAAGGAAGAAAGGAGAGAGAGAAGAGGAGGGGGGGGGGAGAGGTGGGTGTGTTTGAAGGTTTAGAGAGGTCGGGGGTAAGGGCACGACAAAGACATTGAAACTGAAATTACTGGAATAACAATAAATATGTATACAGTGCACCCTCGAAATGCAGAAATGAATTGTTATTAGCAAAGCTGATAAATCAAACATGGTCATTGATAGAAAAGATTACCACCGATCTTAGGAAACCCTTTAGAACATACGCTTTCTTGAAATGCATACAAAACACAGTTTGACTTCTTTCAGCATCACACCATGTCCACTGCGACGACATTTTCTTATTTCCACTTCTCATTCAATGGCAATCCAATGCTACAAATTCTTCAAACATACTATAATGTTCATTGTTCCAACTACATCGTGAAAAACGAAAAGAAGAAGAAACACTCATCAACCAAGAAACCGCTTCACTTCTGGCTCAAAACCCAAACAATAAACTCAATCAATTGGGTGTATATCCCCAGTATTTCATAACAATAAGATAATAATCCAATCTATAGTATATGAGCTCTCGCACACCCATCTCCTTGCAAGCCAAGAAAACCCATTTTTTCGGAAGATAACTTCTACCCATTCAACATTACATCTAACACTTCAATTTCCAATTGTTCTGCCAATTTCCCAATCAAACACGAAAAAAACCCTAATTCAAACTCAATCATAAAATTAAAAATAACAGTACAAAAACAAAAAGCAAGCGAAAGGGGAAAGCAGTACCGTCTTTGAGAGGAGTGTTGCACTCGTAAGAAATTTCGAACTGGAAGGGTGCCAGAAACAGAGCTGGATTGTCGAGCACCGTCACGTTCGTGATGTTAATGGCGCTCATTGCAACGAAGCCCAGACGAAGAAGAAGACAACGACGACTGTGACTGTGACTACTACTCTACTCGCGTACGATTTCTTACGGACGGATTGAAACCCTAGGTTTCAGAACCTTAATTGAAATCCCAAGCCGGAATCGCAAATTGCTTTCGGAACACTGCTTTTATTTACTTTCATTTTTTATCTTATTTTGCGCGGAGAGGGATTTGATTTGCCGGTTCGATTTGGGAGTTCTGGGTTTTGGGGGAAATTTATTGATGTCGTTTTAAAGAGAGAAATGGAAAACGGTGTCGATTTGGCGGGAGATTTTGGTGAAGGGTGAGGAAACGGTTATTTACCGGTGTGGGAAACTTGAGGCGGGAAGGGGTTTGAGCCTAAAAAGAATAAAAATGGACTCGTTGCGAAACTAATTGGGTAGTGCTAAGAACCATAGATGATCAATGTTGGGTGAGAAGTAAAAATGGGAATGTGAATAATATTTTTCAATTAATTATTATGGTGTTTCTTGCTTTACAAGTAATATAAAGTTTATAAGGAATTGATCTTCAAAACTTTGATGTGGTAACTTAGTAGGACGAACTCATAGTCTAAGAAGAAAAGTGAGTTAATACAGGATATTGATGTTTCACGTCTCCCGGTTGATCATTAACACATACAAGGGTATGACCAACTTATAGTAGGTGCCTCATCAAAACTTCGTTCGGCTAGTAAAAATTAAGTAGGAAAAAGTGCTTCTAATCGTAGGTAAAGAGTACAGTAAGGTCATATAAGTATGCATCAGAGGATACTCTCCTGAGTTCGACAAAGCTTCCTATGAGAACTACCAGTGATGCAAATCTAAAAGTTTAAGTAATCCAATTCCTTGAACAAGTTTATGAAAAGTATATTTCTGCAATGACTTCATGAAGAGGTCAACAAGATTGTCTTGAGATTAGATCTACTTGACTTCGATCTTCTAATGCTCTTGTTGACGGGTGAAGAAAAACTTCGATTGCAATTTGTTTGGTATTGTCGCCTTTGATGTATCATTTCTTTAATTGGTTGATACTTGCAGCGATGTCTTCATGAATCGTTGTTGGATCGCCAATGATGAAAGAAAAACAACATGAGGTTGTAATGTGTTCAATCACCCCACAACTGAAAGTATTCATGTGATGCTTCATGTAGAGCTAGAATCTTAGCGTGATTTGAAAACGAACCAAGTCCAGTTTGGTATATCTTTAGGAAAAACCAGATTAGATGATCAATTCATTAAACCAACGTAGAGCAGGGTTCTCATCCTATTGCTCCATATAAGTTTAATAAATCAGTAATAAATTTGGGGTCAGAAAGCCTCTTTCTAAAACAGAAGGAAAAACCAGATCTTATAGATATTTACTGCTTTCCATTGGCAAACATGATATCAAAGACAAATACGCAGACGTCGACCAGCACACGAAAGAAAATGTTTGAAAACAAATTCAATATTTCAGAACAAAAATGAAATCTACCCATACATTACACAATTTTTTTATACGAATTTTATCTATCACTACGTGAACCTGTATAAATAGTCTATCAACATTTTTATTAGATTTGATTTATTATGTAAGGAAGGCTTTAGAATGAACATCTTATGTTTCCCAATTAAGAAGCACATTGGATAGCATCCCGATAAGTCATACAACCTTTATGCTATCCAATGTAATTGATGTATCTCTGCCCCCTCTCCCACGTGACGACAATTCTTAAAAAGACATTAGCTTGTGACCATTATTCCTATCAACTGCAAGTACCTGAAACCAGAAAATCTCAGAGAACTTAGTTATCCCCCAACCAAAAGAAAGAATTTAACAACTCCAGAAGAGCATCTTTGTCTGTGCTTGTCCATGAGTACAATACTAAGGAACTTTTACCTCCGCATCTAGTATAAAAGTTTCTGCATCAGGCTTACAAGATGCATTAACTATGTTAATCAGATCTGGAAATCTTGATGTTGACTCCTCCCCCATTTCGTGAAAATACACGCACAGACCCATCGACCAATTTGACCATCATATCTGAAATTATTGATGGAGTTTTGAGCTCCTATTGTTCCACATCGGGAAACAACAATTTGTCAAAGGTCTTTATATAAGTCAAGTCCTTTTCAATATTGATTAGATGTTAGGTCATTTGGAATGAGGATTGAGGTTTGGGCTACTAATTGTGTGGATTAGGCTTGATGATTATACTATAATATTAATATTAATTAATCAAGACAAGGCCCTTGGGTCACTTGGGGTTAAGAAATTAATCTAATCAATTAGTTTTAAATTTTTAATTAAATTAATTTAAAACGCTTTAATTAATAGACACAACTCTTTGGAAAGAGTTGTATAGCTTCATATACATCCAAAAGATATTTGAAGAGGTATGAAAGAGCCTATATAACTAGAGTCCTCAGTTTCATTGATAGATATCCTTTCTTCATCTTTTTCTTCCGTACAAAATTCTTAGAGAGTAAACACACAAAGTAATTCGCTAGAATTCTATAATCCAGAAGGGGAGGGACGAATTGATGGTGTTTTTTTTTCCTTTCTTTTTTTTTAACTTTTTATTATTATTTTAATATTTAAATAATATTAAATAATTTTTTTAAAAGTTTTTAATAATATTTTAATGATTTTTAATAGAAAGTGGATCTCGAATCAAGCCATGTCAACATTTAACTGAAAAGTAAACGGCCAAGTAACGAAAGGTATAACATTAGACCAAATTCTAAAGATGAGGTATGACATTGTCAATTTTAAAAGATGAGGTATGAAAGTGTCGTGACACTAATAGTTAAGGTAGTTTTTTGTACTTTACCCTATTTTTTAACACCCGGATTTTACGTATAAATGTTTGCACTCGTACATACGCTAGAAGGTTTAACTTGATTATGTTAAATGAGTAAAAAGGTTATTAGGTTTTTAAGAAGGGAATTCCGAAGAAAAAAAAAAAAGGGAAAACATAAAGGAATTGTTAGCATTAATTAACTTAAAAAAAAAAATAGTTATCGTAATCACTTAGTATTACGGTCTAGTGTTATTTCTCTTTACCGGTAAGAAGTCTTTGGTTCGATTCTCAACAAAGGTGAATTTGAACCACATTATTGTTAGCCTATTATGAGGTTAAGCCTAACCCCTCATTCTTAGTGTAGATAATATCGTTTGTTCAAAAAAAAAAAAAAAATTATCATACACTTCCAAATAGAATAACATTACAAAATGCTGAAAGTCCAAAAACTGAAGGCAGCCCATGATAAGCAAACATGTACAAAGGCCACAAACAAAACTTAGAAGAAGAAAACTCAACCCTTCTATCATGCATACAAATTAAATGGAACTTTGTCCTCAATTCACTTGACTGGAACAATAGTTTCCACATAATCTATCATCCAATTGATAATAGGAGGAATATGAAGATACTTGAGATTTCCGGTACTAGAATTATAAGAGGTGGCTTTTCCATATGAGGAAAGGATAAGAACCTCGTCACATTTCCAAAATGTCGAAGGAGACTCAATGTCTTTAAAGGGTCCAACGGTTAGGAGTTTTGTCCATGAACTCTTCACTCCATCATAGTCGTCCATTACCCATATTTCAAGCAATTTACAATCCTCTTCGTAACGAGAGCAATAAGAAGCGACGGATTCATTATACAGAAAAAGACCATAAAAATTAAAATCGGATTCTCTCCTAAAAGGCAATTCTATTCTACGAAATATCTCATCACCTAAATCAAATGAAAATATGTATTCTCCGTTATCGTTTGCAAACCAATAACATAATCCCTTCAAGCACACTGAACAAGAATAGGGAATGCAATACGGATCAGTATCACTTGATGTATCAATCTTGATCTCTTTCCAAGAGTTAGCAGCCATGGTGTATACCTCAGCCGTGTAAGGAAGAAGAATACGCTCATAATATGATTCTTTACCTTCTGAATACTCACAATCACAATTTTCTATAATTCGCACAACCTTATATTCTTTAGTTTTGCAATCATAGCCAAATCCCAATCCTTTAAAGAGCGTTTCCAATCCGAATTTTCCCGTGGGAAGGGGTAGAAGAAGGGATGAATCGGGAAGTTGCTTGAATTCCCTTGTTGCAGGATTGCATAGAAGAACATTTTTCCCTACTATTACACAGACAATTCCATTGCAGTAACCGTAGAGCTGTACATTGTCTTGAACTTCCATAGGAAAGGGTATATTTAGGTCCTCGACATCATAATGAAGGTTGTGCTCATCACTTTCAATGGAAAGATTAATCATAGACCAGAAAACATCTCTTTTCCAACTCCTGTCCGCGAAAACATGAACCTGAGATCGGTTGAAAAGGATGCAAGTGAAGGATGAGAATTTGTTGTCCACGGTATTGCTGAGGTGTTTGGCCACAAAACTTGGACTATTGATGATAGTGCACCATGATTTGTGTACGCATTTGAATCTCATCAGGGACTTGGGCGGCAACCTGGACAAGATTTCGACCACCTTATCTTCAGGAGTTTCACTTTCATGCACCTGGGACATTTCGGCAGTATCATTCCACAAGAATTCTTCACATGTATATACACATAAAAGAACATCACCAGTTTGAGAGACAAATTAACTAAATCAAAATACAAGTCCCTAAGGCCTGGTAGATCGAGGTTCAATTACTAAACGTATTAGCAAATAAGATGCCAAAATCCAACAGTAGTAAATAAGCTTGGAGTTCCACAACCACAATATATTTAGCTATCAAAGAAAACAGGGGCCATCCAACCAGTTTCGAGTTTTATGGAGAACCATACGTTTAACTTTTACCATTTTAAAACTTTTTTATTAGTATAAAAATAACCATTCAAATTTTATGTTTGTAGTCTAGATTAAATTATAGGGAATTTTAACGAAAAGCCTATAGTACTGTTCACTTTAACGAAAAATCACATTTTTACACTAAAAAGTCAATCCTAATACTATTCACTTTACCCTTTATTTTGTCTTTATCATTAAAACTCAAAGTTTTCAAACACTTTTCATTCGTTTTCCTTAAATTATATGAGTCAACATGTAACATCACATGATTTTAATTAACTAACAAGGGAAAATTCGCATATTCACATGAGTTTTAATTAATTAACCCAATTTTTACATTAGAAATACTATTACATAACTGCATCCTTATTACAACTAAGAGTTTTTCTATTTAAACACCACTTCTCAATTATGTTTACCCAATTTCTATATACACCCCCATCAAAAATAAAAAAAATTAAACCTTTACTCAGTTCACCACATTTCTTCCAAAAATGCAATTAAACATCAACACCACATCCACAAACACCCTAAAGCAGCCTCTCATGCACCCCCAATTTCAGAACTTCAATAGAGCAGTTCCATCGGTGGAAGGCAAAGGCACAAATATTGCCCAAAACTAAAGAAAACATTGCTCCACCGGCCCAAAAATTAAGGACAATCACTAAGGCCCTACTATACCAGACTGGTTTGGTATTGTTGTGCTTTAAAAAAAAAAATTACTTTTACTATAATGTGAGAATAACCTCATTTTTACTGCTTCATGTTTTTAGCTTATTTTTACCCAAAATTGTAAAAATAAGTTGTTTTTTAAGTGTTTACCAAACATTTTTTTGAGCTCAATTTTTTTTTATGCCCACTTTTTATGAAAGTACCTCAATACCTAACCAATACTTAAGAGCAAGCCCAGCATGGGTTTTTGCTCGGGGGAAGGTGGACGGAACAAGGGCCCGAGGGCCAGGGGATCAGCTCCAGCGTGTTGCAGCCCGACCGAAGGTGGACGCCCGAGCTCCGGGCCCGTGGGGGATTGCCAGCCCGAGAGCCCGAGGGCTACGTGACGTCAGACTGATGCCAGGCAGGCGTCAGCGCAATATTAAATTTTTTTTGTGTCAGGCGCGTGCACCCCACTCGCGCGTGGGGGCGCGTCGCCGACACAAAAATCAGAAAAAAAAAAAAAAAAAAAAAAAAAAAAAAAAGGTTGTCAGTTACCGTTGGGAAGCCACGTGGCTTCCCACGGTCCGTTAGATCTTAACAGTTACTTAATTTGGACCGTTCGATCTCAACGGTAAAAAAAAAAAAAAAAAGTCAGATTTAATATCCACCGTTCGATCTGAGATCAACGGTGGATATTAATATTCTTTATAAATAAAAAAAAAGAAAAAATAGTTTTAAAATTAAGAAAAGTTACCGTTGTGACACGTGGCACAATCTGGAGTGTTGGAATTCAAATTTTTTTTATATCCAACGGCAGAGATTAATTAATTGAATAAAAATTAAAAAAAATTGTAAAAAATTCAAAAAAATTCAAAAAAAATCTGAAAAATCTGAAAAAAATTGTAAAAAAAATTGTTTTTACTTTTCTATAAATACCTTCTCATTATCATCTACCTTACACAACAATTTCATATTTTCTCAACTACTTTCAATCACATTCCTTTCTTTGTCTCAAAGTTTGAATCCATTTTTTTTCAACAAAATGACCACTGGTGTCACATCCCGGCCCGGGTGGGACCACTTCCCGGGCTCGCTCCACCACCGTAGCACGATATTGTCCGCTTTGGGCTTACCATTCCCTCACGGTTTTGTTTTTGGGAACTCACGAGCAACTTCCCAGAGGGTCACCCATCCTGGGAGTGCTCTAACCCTCTTCTCGCTTAACTTCGGAGTTCCTACGGAACCCGAAGCCAGTGAGCTCCAAAAGGCCTCGTACTAGGTAGGATGGGAATATACATTTAAGGATCACTCCCCTGGGCGATGTGGGATGTCACAATCCACCCCCCTTAGGGGCCCGACGTCCTCGTCGGCACATTTCCGGCCAGGGATAGGCTCTGATACCAATGTCACATCCCGGCTCGGGTGGGACGACTTCCCGGGCCCGCTCCACTACCGTAGCACGATATTGTCCGCTTTGGGCTTACCATTCCCTCACGGTTTTGTTTTTGGGAACTCACGTGCAACTTCCCAGTGGGTCACCCATCATGGGATTGCTCTAGCCTTCTTCTCGCTTAACTTCGGAGTTCCTACGAAACCCGAAGCCAGTGAGCTCCCAAAAGGCCTCGTGCTAGGTAGGGATGAGAATATACATTTAAGGATCAGTCCCTTGGGCGATGTGGGATGTCACAATCCACCCCCCTTAGGGGCCCGACGTCCTCGTCGGCACATTCGCGACCAGGGTTAGGCTCTGATAACAATGTCACATCCCGGCCCAGGTGGGACCACTTCCTGGGCCCGCTCCACCACCGTAGCACGATATTGTCCGCTTTGGGCTTACCATTCCTTCACGGTTTTGTTTTTGGGAACTCACGAGCAACTTCCCAGAGGGTCACCCATCCTGGGAGTGTTCTAACCCTATTCTCGCTTAACTTCGGAGTTCCTACGGAACCCGAAGCCAGTGAGCTCCCAAAAGGCCTCGTACTAGGTAGGATGGGAATATACATTTAAGGATCACTCCCCTGGGCGATGTGGGATGTCACAACTGGTGCAGGTACGAATTGGTCGCTTATTGAAGATGTTGCGTTGTGTACTAGCTGGGTTGAAGTTACTCATAGTTCGCTTACGGGTAATGAGATACAGTTGCGCGAGATGTGGAGTCTTATTCATACCAATTTTCTTGAGAAAATTGGTGGAAAAAGAACCAAAGAATCGATGTCCAGTCGTTGGAAATTACTTAGCCAATCGTTTAGTACGTGGAGAGACGTCTTGGCACAAGCTAGTAGTAATATTCGAAGTGGGGAAAATTACTCGGATCAGGTAACAATATATTATTTATTTGATACCCAAATTTACATTATAATTATTTGTTTGTATTATTTATTTGTTACCTACATAATTTATTATTTATTTGTTACGTACAAAATTTATTATTTATTGTTTGTATTATTTATTTGTTACCGTCATAATTTATTATTTATTGTTTGTATTATTTATTTGTTACCTACATAATTTATTATTTATTGTTTGTATTATTTATTTGTTATCTACATAATTTATTATTTATGGTTTGTATTATTTATTTGTTACCGACTTACATTATAATTATGTTGTTTGTATTATTTATTTGTTACTTATTTTCATTATAATTATTTATTTGTACTATTTATTTGTTACTTATTTTTATTGTGTAGGAACTTCAAGCACAAGCTTGGTACGCTGCCAAAACCAAAAATAAATCATTCAACCGGTGGGAATGTTGGAATATTGTCAAAGATTGTCCTAAATTTAGAGTTGTGCCAGTCGGTCCAGAAGTGCACATGAACAGCACCCCTTTACACTCTACACCCGATCATGTTCATGAAGATGATGCAGAAGAAGTGCCCGAAACGCCCCTCCCTGAACAAGCGTCGGGTTCGACCCGTTATCCAATTAGGCCTCAAGGTAAGAAAGCTTCAAAGAGAAAAGGGGGTGCTTCCAAGAATGATTATGCAAAGTTCATGGAAGAACTTACTCGCCAAGGTGAATTGACTTTGGCGAGGGAAATGGCGAAAGATGAGGCTGATAAGGCTAGAGAGGCAGCAAAAGCAGCAGATGTTGAGAGAGAATTTTATGCTAATGAGAGAGAAAGAGAGCTACTTAGGCAAGAAAGGGAACATGTTAGAGAAGAAAGACGGGCTCAACAAGATCGTGAGATTATGAACATGTCTTTAGAAGGGAAGTCTCCAAATTCTAAATTTTTTTGGAAGTCAGAGAAAGCGGACGTGGTGCGAAGGAGGCGTGCAAGAGAAATGATAGCAAGCCAAGGTGGTTCTAGCACCGCAAGAGAAGATCATCCTAGCACCACAAATTGGTTAAGTGATGATGAATAGAGTACTTTTTGTAATCGGAGCCCATAATTTTCCAATCACTTTGGGTTGTAATTTATTATTTATTGTTTGTATTATTTATGTTGTTTCCAATTTCTTGAATATTTATTCAAATTAATTTGGTAAGTTATTTATACTAAGAATTACATAAACATAAACATAAAAAAATTACATAAACATAAACATAAACATACTAAAAATTACATATACTAAGAATTACATAAACATAAACATAAAAAAATTACATAAACATACCAAATAATAAAACACACCAAATAAAATAACATAAACATACCAAATTCAAAAAACACACTAAATGAACTTAATTATCTTCAGCTTGTTTCAATGCCCACTGGTGCTCTATCAAGTCAATTTGTCGGGCATTGTGCATGTCTGGCATTTGAAATGCAGTATATCGTTGAATGAGCTTTTCATTGTAACGTCCATCCCTTTGTAATGGCTCATGTTGCACGGGCTCATCGGTGGCGTCATGAGCACAATATATACGTGTTCTTAAATTGTTCATCGGGTCTGGCTCATATTCATCAACAGCTTCATAATCGTATTCATCTTCCACAATCATGTTGTGAAGAATGATGCACGTCATCATAATAGATCGAAGCGACTCTACATCAAAAAATCTGGCAGCACCCCTGACGATCGCCCAGCGAGCTTGGAGGATACCGAAACAACGCTCCACATCCTTCCTGCACCCCTCTTGACAGCTTGCAAAGTGTTTTTCCTTTGCACTCCGCGGACGTGGCACTGTTTTGACAAATGTTGACCATCGCGGGTAAATGCCTTCAGCTAGGTAGTAAGGCCCGTCGTACATACGTACGTTGACCTCATATGTAACTTTTGGTGCCTTTCCTTGCAGGACATCGTTGAACACTGGAGATTGGGCAAGGACGTTGATGTCATTTTGAGCTCCCGGGATCCCGAAAAAGGTGTGCCAAATCCATGTATCAAAAGATGCCACCGCCTCCAAAATGATACTTTTTGCTCATTTTCTGTCCCCGTAAGCGCCTTGCCATGCACTTGGATAGTTTTTCCACGTCCAGTGCATACAATCAATGCTTCCAATCATCCCAGGAAAGCTACGCATCTCCGCCTTCTTCAACAGCCGCTCTAAGTCCATGTGTGTAGGTTTGCGGAGGTACTCAGCGGTGTAGATAGATTCGATTGCTCCGCAAAACCTCATCAGGGACTCAAGAATGGTTGATTTCCCCATCCTCGTTATCTCATTCACTTGGTCTGCAGATATTCCATATACAAGCATCCGCAAGGCAGCAGTAATTTTTTGCTCAAGCAGTAGACCCATAGCACCAAAAACATCTTTCTTTTGCACAAAATAAGAATAATGGTTGCAAACAACAATCATGATTTTGTTGAACAAATGTCGTTCCATTCTAAAACGACGTCTAAAGTACGTATCAGGGAATGCACTATTAGGAACAAAATAATCATCCAAGAGTTCCATACCTCGTTGTTGCCTGCTTCTATCAAGGTTTCCGGAACGGCTGGGCCTGCAGATCTGAGCCGCAACTTGGATGACTCGATGGGAATGTGAGGCTCTGCCCATTCTTACTTCGTCATCTCTCCTTTGCCGTTCCTCATCCTCTTCCCTCTCATTTCTTACCCCCTGGTGATTGAATATTCCTTCTGATTCGTTAAACAATTCTTCCTCTTCCTTATTGAATTCCCACATCATCCTTGAGGAAGAAGAAGAAGACATTGTAAGAAAGAAACAGAAACTATGAATAATGATACAGATTTTTGTGAATAAGGAAGCAGAAACTATGAATAATGATAGAGATCTTGAGAAAATTGGTGTGAGATTTGTGAGGATGGATGGTGGATTATATAGAGGATTCAGAAAGGATTAGGTTGTACATAATGCCACGTGGCATGCCGTCATTCGTTACAAATTTGATGGAAATCTATCCTCAAAGATTGTGAACAGATTATGACACGTGGCATGCCGTCATTCGTTAAAAATCTGATGGAAATCTATCCTCAAAGATTGTGAACAGATTATGACATGTGGTGCGACGTGATTGGTTAATAATCTTATCAGAAATCCATCACCAATAATTGTATTTTCAGATAATGACACGTGGCATAACGAGTACGATTAAAAAATTTATCGAAAATCCATCCCCAATAATCGTCTTTTCGGCTTTTATGACAAGTGGCGTAACGACAACGATCAAAAATCTTATCCGAAATTACAAATAAAATTATTTTGTATTATTTAATAAGACTTCGGATAATGACACGTGGCGCAACGAGAACGATTAAAAATCTTATTCGATATTACAATTAAAATTATTTTGTATTATTTTATAAATAAAAAATACTAATATTTTATTGCCTATTGCTAGGGCTATTGAAGTATAACGGTGGAGATGCAAATTCTATTGCCAGGACTATTTACTGTTCATTAAGGGCAGTTACTGTTCATTAGATGGATTGAATAGTGCATTGCCAGGGGGGAAGACTCCAACGCTGAAGTTGCTCTTAGTGCCAAAGCAAAGTCTTGCCCGGGCTGTTGCTTGCGGACAAAGATTTTGCTAATTTTTTCTTGCTTTAGCGGACAAAAGGCCACGTACAATTAGTCAGCTTTAGCTCAAAGGAGGCCCAAAATAAGGCTTAAGCCCACGGATGGGCTAAAAAAAAAAGGGTGCCATCCGCGGCCCAAACTGGGCGAGTTTGATATCGGGTGGGCTGCATGCCCAAAGGGAGAGAACCGGCCAATGGTATGGGCCGCTGCAGGCTAGCCCAAAAGCCAAAAAATTTACGCGGGCTGCTTCAGGAGAGCCCAGAAGAATTTTGTTTGTTTTTTTTTTTTCCTTCTTCGGGGGCCGGGGGAAACAAATTGGACCGGGGGAGCTCCAAAGCCTAAAAGGCAGGAGCAGAATGCCATCAGTGGGCCAAGCCCAACGGCTTGGGGTCAGGCCAGGAGCCGACAGCTCCGGCTGTGGCTCAGTGCAGGCTACAGGCCTGGTGAGCAGCGCGAGGTCGGGGGTTCGAAGAAACCTAGCGGCACCGATTGGTTTTGTTTCCTCTTCCTTTTTTTTTTTTTTTTTTTTTCCTCCAATTCAATAGGTTAAGACGTTATCAACATGCTGTTGACGCTGCGTTAAAGAGAGTTTGATATTCAATCAGGAGAGTATTATGTTTTAATCATTGTTTTCATGATTAATTTATTATTTTATTGAATTGATATACATACTCTTAATTCAATTTAATTTTTTTTTGTTGAACGTGATATAACACATTGAAGATGCAATTTCGGCTTTCAAAGAATGATCTTCTACAAAATTCAAAGGCTTTTATTATTTTCTGCCAATTAGGTACGCTTAAAATAACGGAAGATATTTAAACCGACCATGAAGCATGAAAACATTCCCCATGATGCATGAACCCTTTACATTTATATTTACCTTCCGATATATATATGATTAATATTCGACTAAGCCATGGCCCGAAACAGCGTTGCCGCACCAACTTGACCCTAAGCCGAGCCTACAGCTCAAGGCTTGGACGTTGGAACCGTGAGGCAGCAACCTTTTTGGGCTTGTTGCATGTGTGTGAGAACCAGGCATGCACCTGGGTTCCTCACTGAAGGCCTGCAGCTTCTGGTCCACATACCAACAATTTTTTTCGCTGGGCCTATCACACTCTGGCCTGCACCAAGCCCTCCTAAAACGGGTGGCTTGCTCTTATAAACCAACATCTTTTTGTCTCTTCCATATTATTCAATATAAACCAATATGTTGGTTCTAAGTAAAACTCTTCTTTTGTCTTTTGTTACAATTAAAAGTTAGGAAAACTAACGAAAAAGGTTTTAGTGTTGTGGTCTATTTTATTTGACAAGAGAAAAGGGGTCGATGGCAAGGAGAGAGTAGAGAAATATGTGTTTGTAGGAATGTAGTGCCTTTATTTATAGTAGTAAAGGGGAAAGAATCCTTCATCCCCAAGGAATACAAGTTGTAATAGGAAAGGATAACTAGAATAAAATATAATCTAAGATTTACACAATCACACTTTAATAGGAAGTTTACAACACTCCTCCTTGAGTGTGTTAATACTTAAGGTAGATTCAACATCATGTAGAAGTTGAAGAAATCAAGTCGTCGACACTGATTCTGGGAACATCCTATTCTCAATGAGGTAGGAACTTGCATAAGGAAGTAAGTCTCACAAAAAAACCCTAAGGTTATGGCAAAAACCCGAGTAGGGACAAAATCCATAGTCTAAGGAAAAATGCATGAGTAATGCAAAGTCAAAAGAAACGTCTACGGGACGTCATTAGGGATATGACCAGTCTAAGGTGGGTGCCTCGTTAAAACCTTGTTAGGTAGCAAAAACACAGTGGGAAAAATGCTCCTAATCTCAGGGAAAAAGAGCACATTAAGATCAAGCAAATATACTTCAGGATACTCCCCCTAAGTTTGACACGATTCCAGATAGAAATAGTAATGTTCCAACTTAGAAAGTTTACGCATACCAATTCCATGAACAAGCTTCTGAAACGTCGTCTTCAGTAATGATTTGGTGAAGAGGTTGGCTAGATTGTCTTGTGAACGTATTTGCGTTGGTCATAAGTCTCATCCTCAGCAGATCCCATGTAGATGAGCTTCCATTCCAAATCTGTATTGGCATAAAAATTATTCAACAAGTAAACAAGGTATCCACTTTTAGTTCACCTAGAGCTAGAAAAGCATGTGCAACTAGGTGCTACTTGTGCAATCTCAGAAACTCAGCTCCCCATTCCATTAAAGTTTCATGCAAACAATCATCACCATTAGTGAGGGGATGACTCAAGAAGCTGAAATAGGATATAATGATTTCCAAAAAAAATTAAAGGAAGGGTATGGAACTAGAAGACTAAATATTTTAACAAGCATCTGTACAAAATTATTTACCAGTCTGTTGTCCTCAATGAGTCCATATTCCTACCTGGAACAAGTCAATGCTTCAAGTTGGTGCTACTTGGTGGTTAAATAATTTTCCGTCGATCAAAGCTACAAAATTAGAAAGATTTTAGAGTTACAGCTCTACTATTTGCCTAATTACATGGTGTTACGTTTTCACTCTTTGAAAGATACCTTTCTGGTTTTCTGTTTACAGTTCTATAGCAATACCTACGCAATTATAGCACCTTAGGCGAGTACTATAATTACATTCAAGTGACTGACATGTTAAACAATATTCCATAGCTGAAACACCTCATCAATGCATCTATTCTTTGCAAAATTTATTTCTATTCCAAATCCATTCACCTTTAGCTGTATTTAATTTAACTGCAAACAGTCTAAATAGATCCAGTCGCACATACGACACAAAGAACAGGAAAGAAGAAAGGAGGGGAGGGGTGTTTGAAAGTTTAGAGAGGTCAGGGGTTAAGGGCACGAGCGACAAAGACATTGAAACTGAAATTACCAGAATAACAATAAATATGTATACAGTGCACCCTTGAAATGCAGAAATGAATTGTTATTAGCAAAGCTGATAAATCAAACATGGTCATTGATAGAAAAGATACCACCAATCTTAGGAAACACTTTAGAACATACATTTTCTTGAAATGCATACAAAACACAGTTTGACTTCTTTCAGCATCACACCATGTCCACTGCGACGACATTTTCTCATTTCCACTTCTCATTCAATCGCAATCCAATGCTACAAATTCTTCCAACATACTATAATGTTCATTGTTCCAACTACATCGTGAAAAACGAAAAGAAGAAGAAACACTCATCAACCAAGAAACCGTTTCACTTCTGGCTCAAAACCCAAACAATAAACTCAATCAATTGGGTGTATATCCCCAGTTTTTCACAACAATAAGATAATAATCCAATCTACAGTATATGAGCTCTCGCACACCCATTTCCTTGCAAGCCAAGAAAACCCCTTTTTCGGAAGATAACCTCTATCCATTCAACATTACATCTAACACTTCAATTTCCAATTGTTCTACCAATTTCCCAATCAAACACGAAAAAGCCCTAATTCAAACTCAATCATAAAATTAAAACGAAAAGTACAAAAACAAAAGGCATGAGAGAGGGGGGAAACAGTACCGTCTTTGAGAGGAGTGTTGCACTCGTAAGAAATTTCGAACTGGAAGGGTGCCAGAAACAGAGCCGGATTGTCGAGCACCGTCACGTTGGTGATGTTAATGGCGCTCATTGCAACGAAACCCAGACGAAGAAGAAGACAACGACGACTGTGACTGTGACTACGACTACTACTCTAGTCGCGTAGGATTTCTTGTACGGACGGATTGAAACCCTAGGTTTCAGAACCTTCATCGAAATCCCAAGCCGGAATAGCTAACTGCTTTCGGAACACTGCTTTTATTTTTTATTTTTTATTTTATTTTACGCGGAGGGGAATATGATTTCTCAGTTCGATTTGGGAATTTTTGGGGGAAATTGATTTTTGTCGTTTTAAAGCGAGAAATAGAAAACGAGATAGTGATGGGATGGATACGGGCGATAAGCGGTGTCGATTTGGCGGGAGTTTTTTTGGTGAAGGGTGAGGAAACGGTTATTTACTGGTGTGGGTGACTTGGGGCGGTAAGGGGGTTAAGCCTAAAAAGAAGAATAAAAATGGACTTGTTAAACTAATTGGGTAGTGCTATGAAGTAGAGAAGATCAATGTTAGGTGGGAAGTAAAAATGAAGATGTGAATAATATTTTTTAATTAATTATTATGGTTTTTCTTGCTTTACAAGTAATACAAAGTTTATGAGAATTTGATTTGATGTGGTAACTTGGTAGGATAGACTCGTAATCTAAGAAGAAAAGTGAGTTAATGCAGGATATTGATGTTTCACGTCTTCCAGTTGATCATTAACACATACAAGGGTATGACCAACTTAAAGTAGGTGCCTCATCAAATCTTCGTTAGGCTAGCAAAAACTAAGTAGGAAAAAGTGCTCCCAATTGTAGTTAAAGAGTACAATAACGTCATGTAAGTATGCTTCAGGATACTCCCTTGAGTTCGACAAAGCTTCCTATGAGAACTACTAGTGATGCAAATCTAAAAGTTTATGTAATCCAATTCCTTGAACAAGTTTCAAAAAAGTATATTTCAACAATGACTTCATGAAAAGGTCGATAAGATTGTCTTGAGATTAGATCTACTTGACTTCAATCGTCTAATGCTCTTGTTGCTGATGGGTGAAGAAAAACTTCGATGCAATATGCTTGGTATTGTCGCCCTTGATGTATCATTTCTTTAGCAGGTTGACACTTGTAGTGATGTCTTCATGAATCATTGTTGGACCGCCAATGATGAAAGGAAAACAACATGAGGTCGTAATGTGTTCAATCACCCCTCAACTGAAAGCATTCAAGTGATGCTTCGTGTAGAGCTAGAATCTCAGCGTGATTTGAAAACGTAGGAACCAAGTCTAGTTTGGTATATCTATAGGATATTGTAGTACCTCTAATGATCTAAACAACCCATTTGAGACTGGGTTTGTTTAGAAAAATAACCACATCAGCATAACCAACCAGGCAAACTTCATTATGAAGATCGGGGGTTGGATCCGCTTAACGATGTATAAGGATAAATCAAGCCCTTATCCACTGTACCAATTGACATCAAAGTTCATGCACCGAATATAAAAAGATTGTAAACCTTTGGAGAACTAACTTTGTAGAATATGCAGAAGCAGATGCATTTTAATTTAAAGCTGAAGTGGAGATCCCTATGAATCTTTACAAGGTAACAAAAATAAGAAGCAAAGGGGATGACTGTTTAAGCCCCAACCATTTCAATCTATACAGCCAAAACATATTTCGTACTATGCTATTTGTACAAACATTACAAAACTTTGGACTGAAAGCAGTTCACGCACCAAATTAAAGAAAATTCTCAATTTTCAGGTGCCACGTCCATCTTCCTTGTCTGAGAACGAAACATTGCAGCTATATCTTCAGCTGTGCTACATTCATCTGGTTTTCTATCTGCCACAGTGCGAATGTACCTTGGGAATCTGATCGAAATGCCGCGTGATGGATGCACTAAACCTACAGCAGCCTGGTGAACAGGAGACACTGTAAAGTCTGCACCTCTTATTTCCCACACAAGTTCTGGGGAAAACCACATATCAGGCATCTCAGAGGTTTTATAATAAGGTGGTTTTCTGGACAAGATCTTGTCTCCCGAAAAGAAACCTTTCATCTGCAGTTAAAAACAGAAATCAAACCTATAATCAGCAGATTCATGAGATGAGATCACACGATACATTGACTCTTAATAAGAGAATCCACGTGCAACACAGCACGAAACCAATTGGAAGCATAATTTCCTGAAGGTCTTCTCCGCGCAGAAATGACAAATACACTAATAATTTGTCCAGTAAAAATAGAGTTTTCAAACTCAAGGGTCCTCAACATGAACCTGATTTCTGCCATGAAGCCCTAAACTATGCCTAATTCACCATTGCAAAGAGGAAATTGCTTTCCACCACATATCAAATAGCATACAACCCAAAGCTATACCGCACTAACTTTTAACAGGATAAATTTTAGAGAGGACACATTAAAATCTTAGGTCTCTTATATTTTAAGAAATATGAACCCTTCATTGCACTCCGCAATTGGAACTTGGTTTCAACAGGAAGTTGGAAACTTTTATCCAGCAGGATAACATTTCTAATATTGGAAACCACTTTACAGCCACAGGTCATCTTCGATCAGTCACAATATCTTCAGTAACATAACAAAAAATAGCATGTACCTTCTTAAGAAAATACTTTGCATATCAGCAATACACATACCTCTGTGTAAAATGAGTCTGAAAACCCAGACATGACACGGCAGACGCTTTGGAAATCTTCAGTCTCAGGGTTATAACATGCCATAAGAAATGGACTGTACCTGTAACATAAAGAACATGCTATGAGGAATGGACCTTACCCGCACAATTGATACATGCTTCAACCCTTTCTCTTTTATGGAATGAGTATGATTCAATATACTACTAAAAATCACAACAGAAACAGAAAAGACCGAATAGAAAGAAAAAACACAAGTTATCGACAAAGACTAAACTAATTAAAGGGTAGTGCTAACCACACCCATTTTTACTTTTGATACACCCCTCTCAATTTTGGCCGTCGGATCAAATGAATTGGAGAAGATCAATGCCCAAAAATTAACAAGGGTGTATGGGAGGTAAAATTGGGTGTGTGAATAGCACTTTCCTATTTAAAACTCTGTATTTGTAAATTCAATGACTTGGAAAACATGTAAAGCAACTTTAACGCTTGTGCATCCGTGTATGTAGTAGGTAATCACACACAGCATACAAGGTAAGCGGCAATGAAAAATAAATAATTACCAGCCTGCCTTTCTCCCGTTTCCATGCCAAGCTCCAATTGGGACTAAATCAAGAGAGTCGTTCAATCCCTCCATGTAGTCTCGCTTGACCTACAAAGGAAAGAAAGACTTAATAACAGGCCAGGTCAGATGTTTTTCCTATGATGTTTATTATATCAAATCATTTAATAAGAAACTTGAACAGAATTAAACCTTTAGCCACGTGTCTGTACGCTTTGATGGAGAATATCCAGCGTCAACATCTAAAGATTTAACCATAATCCCTTCGCATGAGGATTGGAATGAATTTTCAAGAAAGCAGCTGATCTTTGCTAACGTGGCTTCACTGGTTAAACAAGCATCATCTGCTTCAATCTACAAGCAGACAGATTTTACAAATCAGCAATTAAGGAAAGATCCATTATGCGAAAAGATAAAGCTAAAGCGCCAATTACAAGAAAAGTAAACCATAAGCACTTACTGTAATTTCCTTGGCATATTCAAAATAACCCAGCTTCTCAACATAAAACATATCTTTCAAATCTGCAGATTATTGAGCACCAAAGTTTGCAACATAATTTCAGGGTATCAAGATACTCTTAAGACAGAAATATACTACAAACTAAAGTCTGGAGACATACATTTTCGCCTTTGCCGCAGAGGAAAGCCCAGCAACCTGTGATAAAGTTTGATTAGCCTACTTTAATGATAAGCAACCATATTACAAAAAATAAAAACAGAAATAAATAAAAGCAAAGACAACAATATTATCGTGTAAAATTCTAGTGTGTCAACCCTGGGTCAACATAAAAACCATATACAGGTATTTAAATGTTTGTATTTCCTCTGAGTTTATACTGTTGGATGGCACAAATTCTAATAAGGAGCAGTTAACCCAATGCAGAAGCAATGGAAGTGTCAGACAAATGTCCAGGCCCTTCCAACCTTGCTCTTTTCGTGTAGTTATAAATATGATTTTATGCCAATTTATCTGTAACTATATGCTTTTTATGAAGTTGCCACACAAGGACGTTTATATGGTGGTATAATATGCCCAAGATACTTCCAACATTAAGATCATTTGACGCCCTTTGGTACAGCCTCTGACTAAAATAGGAATATAATCTGCTTTGAATAAAAATAGAAATATAAATGCTAATAGTTTGTGTCATTAATCTGGTTAAGACTAAATTTCTACAGATTAGATGATCAATTCATTAAACCAATGCAGAGCAGGGTTGTCATCCTATTGCTCCATAAAAGTTTACTAAATCAGTAATAAATTTGGGGTCTGAAAGCCTGTGTCTAAAACAGATGGAAAAACCAGATCAAGAAACGCTACATAAGGAGTTACAGATATTTACTGCTTTCCATTGGCAAACATGATATCAAACACAAATACGCAAATGTCGACCTGCACATGAAAGAAAATGTTTAAAAAAAAATTCAATATTTCTGAACAAAAATGAAATCTACCCATACGTTACACAATTATTTTATACAAATTTTATCTATCACTACGTGAACCTGTATAAATAGTCTATCAACATTTTTTATTAGATTTGATTTATTATGTAAGGAAGGCTTTAGAATGAACATCTTATGTTTCCCAATTAAGGAGCACATTGGATAGCATCCCGATAAGTCATACAACCTTTATGCTATCCAATGTAATTGATGTATCTCTGCCCCCTCTCCCACGTGACGACAATTCTTGAAAAGACATTAGCTTGTGACCATTATTCCTATCAACTGCAACTACCTGAAACCAGAAAATCTCAGAGAACTTAGTTATCCCCCTACCAAAAGAAAGAATTTAACAAGTCCAGAAGAGCGTCTGTCTGTGCTTGTCCATGAGTACAATACTAAGGAACTTTTACCTCCGCATCTAGTATAAAAGTTTCTGCATCAGGCTTACAGGATGCATTAACTATTTTAATCAGATCTGGAAATCTTGATGTTGACTCGTCCCCATTTCGTGAAAAAACGCGCAGAGACCCATCAACCAATTTGTGAATTTGGGCGCGCTGACCATCATATCTGAAATTATGGCCATAAGCATAGTAGTGGTTTCAAATCTAAGCGTACTCTCGTAAATTCACATGAGGCACAGTTTGATGAATGCAATGAACCACTTCAGCAGGTATCATAGAGTTACTTTAAAAATTAAAAGGAACAGTTGGAGCTTCTATAGCCAGAAAAAGGAGATAAGGGGAAGGAGGGGAGGGGAACAAGAGAAAGAGAGATGACCACCCATCTAATTCCTTTTGGGAATAAAGTATACCACAATGTAACCAATATTTAAAAAAATGACCACAGAAATTCTCAGACGAAAATTCTTGAAGTAAAACCTTGAAAATTTCTCAACCCTGAAATCTTTTCATCTTGTCGGAACAAATTATAGGTGACACGGAACAGAAGTCTCCAACAATTTTGGATTGACATCTTTTGAACCTCTTATTAGCAACTATATTCCCAAACACATAGCTTTCAGTATAAGACCAACGAAATTCAAAATATCTAATCATGAGTTTGAACATAAATAGTTTCAAAGGTCTATATCATAAGCTTAAATTATAAGATGCAGTGAATTTTCATTAGGCAGGAAAAATGACCAAGGCAAAACAATGCATCTACAGGTAAGGGAGGACCTTACTTGTATTCACATGTAAAAGCTTTATTTTCAAAGAGCTTCAGTGCTTGCTGAACACCATTCGTGATCCTACCACAAACAAACATTAAAAACACTGAGTTGGAGCATTAGTTTCTCTTCTACTTGCATTCTTTAATACAAAGAAGCAGTTTCAAAAGCATATACTTTGCAAGCATTGGCTTAATAGGTATTCCCGGAACCATTGCCAAGGTTGACGAAGAAAATCCAATGCCTTTGTCCATGAGGGAAGGAACGACCAAATCCTGCATACAATTAATCACGTGGCACATTCTGACATCTCGAGATGATAAAACCAGGATGACAAATTTGAAATTTTCCTTCAAAATAGCATTAGCATCTAACTTGAATTAGCTAAGAACAATGTATGATGTTTATGTTTACTATCAAAAGTGAGGCATCAGGAGATGAAAACAATCAGCCATATATAAAACACAAACTCATCATACAAATCCAATTAAGTGATGATAATGCACAACTGCATTGGTAAACCTTAAATAACTGAGACTGGTCCAAACATAAAAGTTGCACTTCAGGAAACTTTAAAATAAACGACAACCGAAACTCGATACATAATCTCAAGTCATTGACATTTCTGCATAAACTTTAGTTTTATTGTATGCAGAAAAATAAGGGCTTATTGGAAAAGCCAAACTACACTACACGAAGGCTTGATCTTGCCAACATCACAGCCCACCCAAATTATCCTCATAAAAGTCAACATCCAGTTATAACCACACCAAGTTGAGATATAGATTTTAGAAGATCATGGTTCACGAAACAAAGACGGAAAATGGTTTTCGAATAAGAAAAATATAAGCATATGATATTTATGAACCCGTGAAAAAAAATATTAGATATGGAAACCCTAATTGAAAATGGTTCCCAAAACCTTGTCCAGAGTCCAGACCCAAACTCAACATAGAAATCGTATCAAGCCTAACATTATAGCGGTAGATAAGGGTTTAAAATAGTTACAGTGATTATGGCTGTGGAAAAAATAGTCCCAGAGGATGATGCCAGAGTGAACTCCCTCTTTCACCATAATAAAGGCAGTTGCACTTGGTGGATAATAATTATGTACCTCTGAACTATTTTAAGTTTTTATTACAAGTGCCAGGTCATGTAAAAGAAGTCATAACAAACTATAGAATCTTACAAAACGACATTGGATACACTTGCTTTTGCACTTAAGCAGAATGGTATCAAAAGCGGCATTGTGATTTCATACCCCATTTTATAGTGGAAAACAAGACATGAATAGAATACAGTCATCTAAAGGATAAAAATAGAACACCAAAACCAGCATCTACCTACAAAAAATTTACAAAATATATCAACAGCATCAGCATTCCCATTTGAAAATAACAGAAAGTGCACTCTCCTGAAACTCAGATGACAACTAGGCAAAAAGAGAGGCCCAGCAACGAACCCTCTCTCACAAATACCCTCACTTTCTTTTCTTTTTTTCTTTTTTTTTTGAAACTAGTGTATCTGAGCCTTTGAACCAACTAATCACCAGCCACCCCCACCCCCACCCCTTCCCCACTCCCTCCCTCCCTCCCTCCCCACCACCCCCCCCCCCCCCCCCCCCCCCCCTCTTTTCTTCCCCCCTCTTAACAAACATTTGGGGAGCGAGAAACTCTAGCATTTACAAGGTGGGTACTGTTGAGAATGAATCCCACCTTGATGAGAGGAGGAACCTTGCATGTGCTTATAATATAATAGTTTACTCCCTATATTGTCAACTGCTCCAGACCACTCGGGAGCAAACCAAGGACCCGACCACTAGACTAACAACTCAAAAATACCCCACTTTCTCATCCCTCAGACCCTCCAAATTCCAGTATCTGTCTATATGAATAAAAGCAATAACTGAACATCTTCCCAAAATCAAAACCCCTTTTCCATCCTCACAAAAATATTGTCCTCCCAAAATAATGCCATGTGTAGCTGGAACTAGCAAGAACAGATTTGCCTTCCTGAATAGCCAAAGATTCAGTTCTGTAAGACAATGTAAAACCGATGATTCACACTCTCAGCATCTTTCTTGCACAGCACACACCAATGTGGAGAGGGAAACATGTACCTGGAACCACCCAGCACATATATCGCCCTCCCTGAATAGCCTTAACCAAAGGACCATAATAATTTTTCATAAGAATGGTAGGAATTTTTACTCCAGTTGCAATGTTTTAATCTTTCACACCTTCAACAAGAAATTCTCCAGGGAAACCACCTATATACTAGATTGGGGTTGGTGCAGGCCTTCCAATAAAACAAGAATTTAGCTTCTAGAGACACAACAGGCAACTAAAATTTCGGTGAAAAATTCACAAGTACTCACCAAATTGGGCAGAACATTGTACGCTTCAACTACAGCAGCTGAATGACGCTGGAAGTTTAAGAAAGCCACGGAAAAAAAACATTAATATTAGAATAAACTAGATATTCAAACAAATTTATATCTTTGATAATAAAAAAATTTGTAACATTTGTAATAAAAATAAAAAACATTGTGGAACTATTTAGTTCAAATAGATAAATATTAAAACCTGAAGCTTATCTTTCATATTTTCTACTCTTCCTTCATTATTGAAGTTATACGAGGAGTTAATGACAACAGCTTGTGCCAGAGCAGGTAGAACAGTTTTCATCATTGCTCCAATTCGTAAATTCCTGACCTGTACAAAGAATATACAGAAACTGAGTGGTGATAATCATATAAAGCAGTTTCCACTTGAAATGATTCTCACTGTAACTCTATTCCTATTACACCAGAATTCGCTTCCATCCACTCGACAGATGAAGCTTTTGGTTTGTCTACTCAAGCAAGGGCAGAGTTTTTTATTTTGCATGTCATACTGTATAACAAAGAACTTTCATGTTGTCAAAAGAGTTGAACAATTAAAACAGAGGAAGAGGAAGTGGCTGCTCATATTGATCAGTCAACCAAAAAAAGGACCAGCACCTCCTCCCCTCCCTATCCCCCCCCCCCCACAAAAAAAAAAAAACAAAAGATCAAAGATATATAACACAAACCCAGCTGTTTCAATTGGAGACTGGAAGACTTACAAAACTGAAATCATGAGTATTTTTTTGTTATATATACAAGAAAAACATTGGGTCATCTAAATCTAGCCATGTTTAGGTGAAAAACACTGAGAACCAAAAAGCTCTGTAAGAGTGTTACCAAAGTTCTAACAAGAAACTTCATCTCTTTCTCTCTACAAGAGCGCATTAGATTCAAAATGAGGCTTTTCTTTCGAACAGTGCTTCCAATACCTGTTTGTACACTGATGAATAATACATAAGTAAAGTGATGAGGTGCAAGTAATATGAGAAGATAAAATAAATTAACAATTAAAATGAATGATGCACCAGTACAATTTCCATGCTGTAAATAAACATAGATTAGAGAAAAAAGAACATATTGGTTATATAAAATGGTAATAAGCAAAATAATTATGCCAAAAGTACCTAAAAGCCATCTTACATTAACGTGTTACCATTAAACCTCTACGAGACTCCATACATGCCCCAGTCCTTCAGAACACAACAACACCAACAATGCAATCATCTACCCATCACCACATATTGTTGTTTTGTTAATACAGGCTATTGAACTTAATTCCATTACGAGCAGACTTACGGCCTTAAGACAACATTGAGTTCAAGGCCCGCACTTTAAAATCTCAGGAAGGAGGAAAAAGAACACTATGTACAGAGAAGAGAATATTTAATCATAAAATGCAAATCGCAGAGAAGTGGCCTCAGTGCCAACAAATCATTAGAGGGTTTTCCAATACAACTCCCTTTGTTTTGCAAATGTTTCTTGGGTAAGTTTTTGTAATTTCTACAAACTTAGTGAAACATGAAAATTTAGAGAACTCTGGAGGTACACTGGTTTTCTTATATATAAAATAACATAATTCATTATAAGGAAAAGAATAGAGCAGTTCTGCTGGTACACTGTTAAAAAAAACTCAAGGAATTCAACTTATTTGGCAAATAAACTTGAAACCAGATTCAAGTTTTAAGGGGGCTAAAATACAGTAAAAGTCTCCATTTCATCAAATTTAAATCTACAAAGCAATTATAAAGTAATTATGTAAAATTTATCTCAATCGTTGAACATCAGTAGCCAGAAAATCCTGTTTCTTTTTCTCCAGTCACAAACAATCCAGAAAAGTTAAGGGGTCATCAGCCAACTTTTTATAACCCAAACCTCAATTGAACTGAAACAAGATCACTAATATGAAATACATGCTAGATTCCGTCAAATCTTCATAAATCAAAAGCATGCACCACACATCAACATTTCTGGTCATCTAAACATTGTAACTGGACTAAGTTCATCATATATCGGTCTTGAACAAAAACCAACTGGACTATCCATACCTTATCTTTTGGAGTGCAGAAAATACATCCTTTATGAACAACGGTGAAGGAGGGGCAAGTAACTTTTGTGTCTGCCGGCATGCTTGAGCAACATCACCTTTAAGATATTATACTGTTAATAAAATTTATTCAGGGACCATGGCAGGATCACACCACCCAATCCCCCCCCCCCCCCCCCCCCCCCCCCCAAAAAAAAAACCCACCTCTAAACATAAAAAGAAAAATGCTTAGAAGAGCAAAGAGAGAGGAGTGAGAAAAATGGCCCATTCCTACCTAGATCACCCAGCTCACTGTACATCTCCCTTATTGTGGATCGGCTTGTCCCACATGCTTCTTCCAGTGCTGATGTGACCAAACTTCCACCGATGTTTAGCTCCTGTATAATTCTTATAAATGAGAATTCCTTCCTTTTTAACAGGAGAGGGGCCCTTAGGCAGCATATTTGTGGTTTGTCTTTAAAAAATTCCTTGTATTTCTTCTTCCTAACTCTATCTATTGGCCAGCCAAATGGAAAGGAAAATAAAAAGTATATGGGCAGACAACAGTTGTCAGGGAAAAAAATGCATCAAACAAGCACATTGAGCAGAAAAAGTTGACAATCCACAAGTAAATCACACTTCTTGCACATAAAAATGCTGAACCACAACACTAAAAAGTCCAAATGCAAACAGAAACCACTTAACCAAATCTCGCAGTTAGAAAGTTGGAAACCATTGATTTTCTAGTCTAACTAAAAGTATAACCCAGTCTATAATTGTTATTAAGGCATGCTCAAATACAAAAGACAACAGATCTAACTTTGCATGGGTTTAGGAATACAAAGTGAACATCATCGCCACAGCTAAAACTGATAAAAAATTTAACCCGTCAACAAATACATGCTCTAATATGAAAGTTTTCATTCAACTACTTCATAGTTTTAGCCAATGCTCTTTAGTGTATAAGAAATAAGTTGCACACATATGTCCAGGCAAGCAAACAAAATATAAATACAAATGATAAAGAATAAATTCAACTAACCACATTTTCATGGTCAGCAGCGATCTTATTTGTGCACAAATACACGGATGGCAGCACGTCATCAGGAGACAAGGCAAGCAAACTGCGTATCAAGAAGCATCACAAGCAATTATGGGCCACTTTTTTCTATTTCTTTTTTTTTTCTTGCAACAGAATTATATACCACATAACCAAAGTGGACAGTGGATCCTGAATAATAAATAAAAGCCCGAAAACATCACAATGGATCATACACCAAACCTTCTGAACATATTGCAGAGCATGGAAGTAGCTTTTATCTTGCCCCTTTCATCCTCAAGTAAGTCAAAAGTTCTTGCAAGATGTAAGTATGGAGCATTCTGTCCATTCCTCCAGCAAGCTGCACATGTTATCTCCAAGTTAATCAAGATTCCTATCTAAACAATTATAGCATATAACACAAATAAGTTCTGCAAATTGAACATCGTGTTCTAACTAAATGGGACTAACCATGTTCTATAGGATTGTATTTTTCTGGTGGTAGAGACACAAAAGTTATATTTACGTTCTCTGGTAATGAAACCTGCATGGACGAATCAGTTGTTGGTTCCATTTTCCTTGACTGAGTTTTCTCTTTGTCGGAAGAGCAATTATTTACGTGGCAGTGGAACTGAACTGATTTTTCATTAACCATCAATTCTTCTTCATTCTCACCAGACCTTCCTTCGCAATTAGAGTAATATATATTAAGCGCTTTATTGATATCTCCATTTGCCTCCTCCAGAATGGTGGCAGCATAGCTCTCTAGCGATTCATCACCATCTATTATCTTAAGAAACTGATGTATCTCATCCCTGTATGATTTGGGGTCATCGTTGAGCAAATTTTCATATTTAGGGTTTTGTTCATGCAATGAACCAGCCACTGCAGTTTCTGGAACATTTGGTAAGACTTTACTAAAAAACCTTGTTATTGCCAGTTGCTTCGGCCCGCCCGAATCCAATTTCGAATTTAATTTCAATTTTTTGTTCACCTTATTGTTAACTTTCCTCGCCCTTTTTCCAGGAGATATTCCACTTTTAATCATATTCCTTGGCACGAGTGAGATATAATCTTGACTTAAAGGAATGTCAGTACTTCTGCATGGACTGCTCTTATCAGAACCTGCTTTTGGAAGTGATGCAGAGTCACAAGTTGAGGTAGTCTTGGACATAGAATCAGCAATTCTAGAAGCATTTACTTGCTCATGAAATTCTGTCTCACGTTCGTAGAAATTAGAAACTGCTTCAACGATGTCCCCTCCCGTGCTACCAATCAAAACTAGCATCTGCTCATGGGTGACCCATGTGGGCAAACAATCACGAAGTTCTTGGACGATTTTTTCTGCTTCCTCATCATTTAACAGCACTTGATTTTGTGGATCAGGTTCTTGTAGAGAAGATGATAATTCCATGCCTAAACTGATAATACTATTTCCTACTATATCCTTATCATATGACAGTGCCTCTTTCTCCTCATCGAGCCCCAAAATGGGGCCCTTGTTGGACTCATTTTCTACACTGTCAGCTACTTCTTTAGACCCAAGACGAAAGCTCTTCAAGAACTCCTTCTTGTTCGCCATTTCATCAACTAACCCAGCAAAATGCTTTTGCATTTTACTGGCGTGCTTACTATCAAGCTTTTCAACATCCAAGCCCACTGTAGGAACGACACGCTTTGGTTTCAAAAACCTCACATATTCTCTAAGTTCTTCATAGTTTGAATGTTCACTATATGGTACAAGATGGATCTCAAATGAATCCTTCGACCTAACCGAAAACTTATTACGCTTCACTTCATAAGTCCAACCAGTAGGAACAAAACCCACAACCTTAGAGTATCCTCTTTCGGCCATAATCTCCTTCATGTTTACAAAATTAGGCTTAAAATATGGCCAAGTCTCACCCAAGACATTCCACCCAACAACATGTACATCACTTTCACATTCATCCTCTGTAAATACCCCATTCTCTCCATAACCCAGAACACGAAAAACTGCCATTTTACGAGCATCCACATGCACCTTACGATTACACCTATGCGCGATTTCAAGCAAAATCTTCTCTTTTCCAATTACATAAGTAGCTACAAGAAACAAAACATTTTTCATTTCACTTTTACATTCACCCCCAACTCGTTCTATCACACTAGCAATATAATCTACAGACTCTTGTTGTGAAGGAAACACGAATTTCGGATTACAATACGTAGTGTCCAAGAAAACAGCATCGGAACCCACAAATTCACACAGAAAAGGGTCCAACTTCATCGAACCCGAAAACCTAAAATCGCCAGTATGAACATACCTCTCAAACTTTCCGTTCATATCCGGAATTTTAAACAAGAACTGAACCGCACCCGGACAGTGATTAGCGTCAATCAGCACAACCTTCACCCCATCGATTACAACGGGTTCGCCCAGCGGCAGAGCGACAACGAAATGAGGAGAGACCTTGAGCACCTCAGTGAGAAGACGGGCGGTGATCGGAGAACAAAAGACGACGCCTTTAGCCCAATTGGGGGAGAGGCCGCCGTAGTGATCGGAGTGGAAATGGGAGAGGAAGTAAGAGACGGAGTGATCGCCGGCGTGGCGGAATGCATCGACGGCGAAACGGGTTTTGGGGATGAGTTTGGAGTGAGGGAATGTGGAGGGAATTGGAGGGAAAGAGGGATGGGGAGGGTTGGGTTGGTGGGAGAAGGCGACGAGGGCGTCAAGGAAGAGGTGGGTGGAATCAAGGGTTGGGGTTCTGGTCACGGAAGAGGATGAGGAGGCCATGGGAGATTGGACATGGATGTCAAGAGGAAAGCAATGTTTGGAATTTTGAGGTTTTCTGGTGGAAGTCGTAAGCAGGTATGTTGAAGGCGGCAAACACCAACTCACAGTTTATTGTGTACCTCAAAAGCTATTTGGGTATTTTCTGGAAATGATAGTGACATCACTTTCTTTTTCTTTCTTTTTTTTTTTCCAATTTATTTATATGGCTCAACCGTAATTAAAAAAAAAGTATGTGAATAGTATTACATTTGAAAAAAAAAAAAAAAAAAAAAAAAGAACAACTTAGTAATTACAAAGTTTCAATCAAATTATTCACTTTTAATCTTAATAAAAACTATACTTCTGATGAGTCTCTTATCCAAAATATTTTGATTTTGTTTTCGTCTATTATATTTCTACTCAGATATTTTGATTAATAGACAGTATTGATCACTAAATTTATATTAGTTTAGACATTAGTTAGTTCCTTATCAGTTTCCTTTCGAAATTGACATTACTCTTTGTCAAGAACTGTTATCATGTGGCTAATACGAATTTCAATTTGGTATATGGCTATATGGAAATTGAATGTACCAGTGCGTAGACCAAACAATTTATTAGTTAAAAGTTCAAATCGTCAACTTATGCGTTTGATATTAATATTGAAAGACATAACCATAATTTCGCCTAAGTTTGAAGAACTATAAACGAATTTCACTTCAAGAGTTTGGCAAAACAATTTGCACTTATAATTACGTACTTCAATTCCTTATTCTACCAAGGGTTTTTATAATAAACCTTACTTTTGCTTGGCTAACATATGGTAAATTCAGTTTTGGATCCTTGATCCTCTCTTAAATTAAAGACAATACCGATATTGAATCATTGATTTGTCTGAATCAAAAAAAAAAAAAAAAAAAACGCATGCTACATATTTTGACCCATATTAAATCTAAAAGAAAACTTAAAAAGAATTCCAATAGTATATACTAGTAATAGTGCCCGCGCGTTGCCGCGTGTTTAAAAAATGTATAAAATATATGTGCATTCATATTAGGTGTATTATTTACAATTGTATTTATACACATAATAATTTGTACCTGAAAGTTATATTGACCGTCGCTTCCCAATTTTTTTATTTTATTTGTGATGATGTACATGCTTCTGTGTTATGATTTGAGAAAATAGAAGCTGTTAGTACAAATAAATAAGAATGTTAAAGAAGAAGAACAATTTTTATAATTGGTAAAGAAATTGGGTAATTTTTGCAGTTTTTAAATAAATTTAATAATATACTACAAAGAAAACTGCGAGGTACCTATTATTTTGATCAGCAATCTTCTCCAAATAGTAACACTGGATGATGGCATAAACTGTCATAGCCTTCAAAAATGACAATTGGCAAAAACCTGTTTATATCGGAGATAAAATTTTAATGACATTCACAGGATAAAACCTGTTAAGAAAAAGAAAGAAGAAAAAGCATTGATTGCTTTCTTTGTAAATTGAATTTACATACCATATGAGAGGTTAATCTAGCTTTGATCGAGATTTGTAGTACATGCTGAAGTTCTCAATGATTGACGGTGAGATGGTATACAGTTGATTGACTCGTTTTAGATGAAGACAACTGTGAACATTTCTGAGCCAAAAGCTGTTGTGGAGTTTGTTAGAGAATTAGGCAATATATGTAAAAACTGAGAATTGTTCCAAGTGATGAACCATGAATATAAAAGAGTTTTATTTTATAGTGGAAAACAACATAAAACAATAAAAGAAAATCTTTACAAATTCGTTTGAATTTCCTATACCATATGTTACTGGGTTTTCAATTTTACACACCAATGTGCCTATCTTATTTGCAGCACGAAACCAACATTAACATATAACAAAAGGTTGAGTGTTTACCTGCCAATGTAGCAATAGGAACGACCACTATAGCTCCAATTCAAAGGTCAAACCTTTCTGCAAATAAACCACTCTACGTTTCACCAATTTATTCCATCTCACCACGAAAACTAAGCAAGCACAAACCCACATTACAAAATTAACATTTAAAAGAAAATGGAGCTCGTCTTCTTGGAAATTTAAGCACCAATGCATAAAATTGTCCACTAATTCTTAGTTCTTCTATGCATTGTGGGATCATATGCTAACTTGCAATTGACATTATAATTTATGAATTTTATGTAAACAACCCTTAAGTTTATATCTTGACAGTTAAGACGCAAGAAAAGCTAAAATATATTTACTCTGATTGATCAAATTACTTAGTCTAATTCCCAAAATATGTAATGTACAACATGGTCATCTTTACACATGTATTATGGAAGAAACCAAAACCAAATTAAGGAATTTTAATTTAAAAACAAAGGTAAAACATAAGGTACAAATTACACTAAAGTATGGACATTGCATCCAAAAAAAGAATGGATCATTTACTGTCAAGTTAATATTGTAATCTCTTATTACATTATTAAGGTCTTCTTCATACTGCAAAGATAATAAACAAAGTTTAAGTCCACTGATCTTGAGGCCAAATAAGAAATAACATCATAATTAAAAACTAAAATAGCTGACAAATAATTTGATCAAAGTGAATAGAAGATTAGCTGACAATGCCATACCCTACGATCAATGATAATTTGATACAATGCCACATGGAAATTGCTTAGCCCATCTACTGAAGACTAAATGTGTGAAAAAATAGGCTGCAAAAGAAGAGTAAATGAAGCATAAGTTGAAAAAGAATATTTGGTCACAAATGACCTTACTGTTAAAAGTAAATTATAAGAACTTACCATGGGTATTGATAGAAGCAGGAGACTGTTCATAAAGATTTATCTATTACCAAAGAATTAGTGAAACACATGACTAAAATCAAATTCCTATCTACCCAAGTCTTTATACAACTAAAAAAGTTGGGAACATTTAATCATAACCTGGAAGAAGAATTCATTTGGTGATTTGATTCAAACCTGGCTGAAATCTTCGAGTCTTCTTATGATTTCAAACGTCTCCAAACTACCTGGTGTTTCAAAAAAACATCAAGCCCAATAAATACTACTCACACAACAAAAATTAATAAATATAAAAACCGAATTTGTTCAAATCAACACAAAAAACCAAAAACTCATAGGAGCTTCCTTCTGAGAATCTCAAACTCTAACCATTTCAAAAAAAGTTCTTCGCATTTCCTCAAATACGTACTAAACTCTCTCCTACTGCTCAAAATCCAAATGAGTACTTAAGATATACAGAACCACATTTAAGTTAAAGCTATACTGCACTAAATGACATTCAAAACCACAAACACCAAAACAAAAATGAATTCAACACCTTGAATGTGTAATACTCATATCTAAATCCAATTTGAAACATAATTTTCGCCCTTAAAATTTTTTCAACAAATGAACAATCAATTTAGGAAAGCAACTACAATGCAACTGAAGAGCTGTTCGACTTAGCTCCATTTAGTATGGCCAAAAGCTTGAAAAACAGCTTAGAAGCACAATTCCAAATATTACCAAAAGCAAGCATCTTTGGGGTAAAGAGCCCACTTTCCCAAACAGAGCTTTAAGTTCATGCCACATGATTCGAATTAATTTATCACTAATATAAGTTCTAAAATGGTAAAAAATGAGGAAATGCACCTATCACCCTGTTCACTGTGATCTTTGAAATCCAAGTTCCACTACGTAACCCTTTGCATAGCTGCGTAACTTCCGGTGACGAACACGATTTCAGAATATATAAACTTCAGAACTTAATTCATTCTATAAAATAGAATTAAAAAGTTGATTTACACTTGTAAGGCATGCTCCGATGTTGATATAAAGTTGAGTCAGTTGATTTGTAACCACCAACTGTAAACGAAAAATGTAAATGCTAAGTTAGTTTACATGTTTAAATCTTTTGGTAAATGCTAAGTTATGTTATTATGTATGATGGCATGCCAAAGACCAAATAAAAAAAATAACAGTAAAGAGTTAAAACTCAAAGTTGAAATACCATCTTCAATGTACCATCATATGCTAGCATTTAAAGTTGAATTGTTAAAATTTAAATCCTATGATCAACTCACCTTTCTTAATCTTTTCTGGAGGAATAAACAGAACGTCTCTTCTACTCTTCTTTAACCACTGCACTAAAAAAAACATTAATGTTCAAATATTAAAATTGAAGATCTTAAATTCATAAGTTAAAAACTTAAAAGCTAGTTAAAATAAACATCCATCACAACAATAGCTCGGAAATTAAGTTGTTTTATTTCTGAGCATTTTTTTGGCAATCAAACGGAGAAAATCTGTGTTAAACTAAACAGGCAATGGTTGTTAAATTTAGTTCTTTAAATTTATAATTTTTTTTAACATGTGAGTTGATCCGTACTTTTTAATTTGGTTTGGAAATGGGGTAAGATCATGTTGGTTTAAAACAATTGTTAACATGTTATGGTGGAATATATTATACCAAGGATTAAACAAATAGTTGTCATTTATTTCTTGCAATGCATTCACTGTTAATGAATAGTGACATCAAATTGATAAGTTTGTAGCTACATAGGAAAAAAGACTAATAGGTATTATGCACGTAAGTAATCAACCAAAACCTCTTTCCACATCAACTAATCAATAGCTTTAACTGTAAAAAAAACAAAAAAATTGATTCGAAAAACCTCTGTAACTATTGTAATTTTCAGTTTCTAACTCATTCTTTTGATCAATATCATCTGAATCAGTGTAATTTCATCAAATTCTAATCCATATGATCACTTGTGTGCCTAAAAACTAATCGACTCTTAACAGCAGCACAAAAAAAAAAAACTTGGAAAAACGAAGTTGTGTGCCTAAAGGCTTCGTTTTAAAAGACAGAGAAGGGCATAAGAACTTTACCTTAGGAATTTTCCCAACTCCGCTCAACCTTTTTACCCACCCTAAAAAATACTTCAAATCCGATCCACCTACTAAAACACACCCAAAAAAAAAAAAAAAAAATTAGCAAACTAATAAACTTAATTATATATGATCATTTCACCACATATTTCAAATTAATTGGTCAAAAAATTAATTAATTAAAATGAGTTTAAAATAAATATAAAAACCAATAATAATTGTGATTGTCCATTTTCTGCTCCCTGGGCTTTCCACTTGGAGTTCAAGATAGCACGAAACCACTTAAAAAAAAAACTATTCAATTTCTGAGACCAGAGAACAAAAACCAAGCAAACACCACCAACGCAACAGAAACAACACAGTAAAACAGAGTTTTAGAGGGAAAAAAAAAAACAGTGGACTTTAATTTTACATCGATCGAGCAATCGATCTAGATGAAAACCCTAAATCTCGAAGACCAAGATTTCCTAAAACGAAAATTCGAATTAGATGGAACAGCCACACACAAATCATCGAAAAAAAAGAAGAAAAGTTTTGAAGAAAAAACTCAGAGACCTTAATCAGATGGGGTTTGCAAGGTTGTACACAAAAACCCTAAAATTCGCACACCAATTTTCCTGAAACAAAAAAACCCAATCAGATCAAACAACCACAATGAAAACATCAAAAAAAAAAAAAAAAAAGGAAACAATCAGTGCAAAACGCAAAGACTTTAATTTTACAGCGATCGATTTGCAAATTTCTTCCCAATCAAAGAAAAGACAAAAAAAATATAAGCAGAGAAACCACCTGAAACAATGCAATCACCCGGAAAAGAAACTCTTCATACGACACACAATCGACGCAGAAAGAGAAGCAGGGAAACACGAAGGATTGACGCAGGGAGAAAAGCACGGAAACAGAGAGGAAGAGAAAGGGAAAAGCGACGGAAGAAAATGGAAGAGAGTTAAGCAAGGAAACACGAAGATCGAACAGGGAGAAAAGCAAAGAGAAACAGAGAGCAGGCGAAAGGGAAAAGCAACGGAAGAAGATGAGAGAGGGTTCGAGCACCTTCCCATATGTAGACTCACTCTACCAAGGGGTAAAATCGCCAATTCATGTAGCATCTTTTAAAGGGCTGAAAACCGTGCGTTAGATCAGGGGTAAAACCGGATTGACACTGTTAATGAACAGTGCCAATCAGCTGAGCTTTAGTATATATAGAATATTATTGTTTTGTATTCTTATGGACAAACCAGAGAATGAAAATTGAACTCAAGATTTCGGATGAAGAGTGAATGCTCACACTGTGCAAAAAGAAGAGGAAAGTTAGTATTTAATTTACAACCATATGTTTATATGCATCATTACATCCTTAACATATATAGAAGAAGACTCGAACCTTTCCAGTGGTGGAGAGGTGAAAGCCCACGTTGACAGGGCTAAAATTCCATAAATAACCCTACTGTACATGCCATGAATAATAATCACCTTGAAGAAACAGAAACTGCAGGCTCTTCTGCTATGGTCTCCAGCAATGGCTTCTTTGACCTACTCATAGACAATCTGTGCATGAACTCCGGCGCCGAGAAATCTTCTATATCATCCAAATTCAACTTCGGCATCGCCGCCTTATTATCCGAACTTTCCCTCCAACTCTCAATCATCTTACCCTCTTCGCCGTCATCATGAGCAAATTTCGTGGCCTGATGGTGATCATCAGCCGGCCTCACCTTCACGTTTCTCCCGGAAGCCCACTTGCTTGAGGAGCTGGACGCGGTGGCCTTGAGGAACAGTGGCCCCATATCAGTCGTTGTGACGGTGGAGTTGAGCCTTATCATGGGGAACGTGACGTATACGTCGCCGATATCTAAGTCTTCGTCGGCATTGGGAGGTGAAAATCTTCTTCCGACACGAAGAGACTTGGTGTTCACGAGGAAGAAGTTTGGGGTGTCGAGCATGAGCTCGGCGGCTTTTATGGGGACGTGAAATTGTTTGATTTCGCCGCTTGGGATGATCACTTTGGTGGCTGCAGGTTTCCCATGCTTGCTCAATATTGGGGTTGCTAGGCTGCAAGAAATGTAGTTGCCCATGTTGTCTAGAGAGAGAGGGAGGTATATAGAGTTGAGATGAAACTTTTGGCCTGGAAGTTTGAGGGGAGTTGAAGATTTATACAAGGGAATTGAAGAAGATGTCTCTCAGCTAAAAATATGATTAAAAGCGCTTACTTCTGCACCCAAAATATTAAGTTCGATTCTCTTTTTTCTCTATTGTTTGAATGAAAAAAACTAGAAGATTCTGAAATAAGATAATAGTAGAGCCAGTTGTATTGTATCTGGGTTTGACATTGTTGGTGGAGTCCGCGTTGGGCCAAAAAGGAAGAAAAAAAAATATGAGAAGAAAGCAAGAAAATGTATTAGAAGGTACATTGCTAAGAGAGATTTTTCAGTGTGACCATCACACGAGGTGGTACATCACGTGTTATTATATAAATGGTGGGATATGTGTTAAAAAGTTAATAGCTTAAAAAATAAAAGTTCCCACCAATTGCATAAAAACACATGGTGTATCACCCTTGTTCTTGTCACAACTAAAAATTTCTCCGCTACTGCGTTTCAGGTTGGCTTTTTATTATTTATTAATTAATTAACAAAATGATTATGCTTATAGTATCATCTATGAACAAATATACCCTGTTATATAACGTGTGGGACCTTTCTTCATTGTACTTGACTTACTCGTTCTTTTTTTAGTTCTTAGAATGGGATTAGGAGCTTATCTATAACACCAATGTTATTTATGTAGGATAACTGACTTGTATTAAAGAGTCATGGTACATGTTGTCAGTTTTGTGTATCTGCATCAATATACTCTATTTACAAATCATTTAGTTCTTCTATTACTATTGTGCTAAAGTCATTAGGTTTAAGCGATATAGTGGTGAGGCCAGCTGATGATCATCATCAGTTCACAAAGTTTGATCATCAACAATAAATACATAGGGTTGTGCTAATTGTATACATTGCTGCAGTGACAAAAAAAAATGGTCTGGAGTGAATTTGCATGACCAAACAAATTAGAGTAAACTCCTATACGGCTACCAAAACATATATCTACAAATGCTACCAGTATAGATTTGTTACAAAAAAAAAAAAATTTTAAAAAATGTGATAGATGCAATTAGAGTGTCTTATTTGTTGGAAGAAATACAATGAATCCATAGCATGTATGTATTCGAGGTTGAATAAAGAAACGATGTGTCATCATTTGGTGACCAATATTTCTTCCATGTATCCCTTCCCTAGTCTTCTTAAACATATTTCTGCATCTCTTCCATGATTTATGGATGATTAATTCAATGAAGCATATATGTGAATGTGATAGCTTGGGAACCAAATAAACACTTATGACTTGCATATCATTTACGTGTGAATTAACAGGACAGCATGTGACCTTTTGAGATGCATGCATGAATGAATAGTGGGGTTTGTATTTTACCTTTTTTGGCGGTGGCGGTGGCGGTGGCGAGCCGTTGAACGAGTCCATTAAAACAATCAAAGAGGGGCAGCTCATCATATTCTTCCTCTGCCTGCTTGCTGCCTGATTGCGTCACGGGATCGTTGGTGTCACATTTCCAAGTATCTTTCACAAAATTCTCTCACTCACTCTCCCGAATTTATTTATTTATTCTATGCCAATACAATAAATTGTCGTATTATATACAATTTTTTTTAATAAAACAATAATGTTAGTGAGTTAAATAGTTCTGCAAATATAGTAAAGCGTCATATGCAATATCAATTTAAATATTTGGTTATTTAATATTAAATCTTGTATTTCTTTTTGCTGATTTTTATATTGGTTGACATATGATGCATTAAAAATGATATTAAAGTTCCTTTCCATCTCATAAAAACACTTCATTGATTCTTTCCTATCTCCCTCTCACTGGACTACATCTCAATCTTGGTAGAGGCTTGAGTGCACTTGTCACATCTTAGACTGGCTCCACTCTAACACGATATTGTCCGTTTTAGGCTTACCATTCTCTCACAATTTTGTTACTAGGAGCTCATGAGAAACTTCTCAGTGGGTCACCCACAAAATTTGATGCGAGATTTATACGCACACAAATTAAACCCTCTTTTTGTCAATTGTAGTATAAGTATAAGTAGGGATCGTTCTGGACCGGGGATTAGGAGGGATTGTTAATCTCTTGGAAACTGACTCAAAAACGTAAAAACAAGATAAAACACTAAACTAGACTCAAAGAATGTGAAACTAAACGTTAAAACACTAAGACAAACCAAAAGACTCAAAATGCTTTAAAAACACAAACTAAATTGATTTCTAACTAAATTGAACAATAAAGTAAAGGGGGATTGGATTTGGACGACTTTAAACTAAAAATGGAAACTTGGAAATAAAACAAATTGTAAATATGGATTTGACGGAAATGAATGGATGGGAAGCTAGCTAAGGGGTTCATCTCCACATATGTTATACTTGCATACAAAACGATGTCTAATTGCTTTTCAATAAACCATGAATTCTCAACGCCCCGGGTTAATTAGGTCCGCTTAAATTAACCGTCAAGTTTTCCTTAAGTTAATGAATTGGATGATTGCATACGACAATCCAAAGCATTCCTCACAAGTTCCCTACATGAATTGCATAATAGAGATACAAGCAAGAATCATTAAGCATCATGAAAACTATAAGTGTTGACGAGGCATTCGTTACTATGATTGCATGAAACTTATGCCAAGAATATGTTTAACACGATTGTTTATAAGCAACCTCCACTACTTGTGAATATAAGTTCATAACTATTACGTGAAACTCACTTATATTCTAGCGTCAAATTCATGCATGAAAATTAAGCGTTCATTCTTAATAAACATACATAAATAGGTTATCAATTAAACAGTTAAACAAATTGAATTCACAACTTATGAAACGTAATTAAAAGTAATCAAATCATATTACAAACATAAACATAGTTTCGAATCACCCCCTAGCTAAAGGGGGTTTATTTCCTCATACGTACAAAACAAAGAGAATTGAAATTAAACATTGAAATCAAAGAAACGCCTAAACATTCCAACAACTCAATCTTGAATTGTATGAACGTTTAGGCCCTCTTATCTTCCTCTTTATTGTAGCATAAGGTCTAGGGATAGTTGGTTGGGGGGATGGAAGTGTTGGGAAATTATGGAAATGGATGAGGAGTGGTGGAAATGGAAGATGGTTTTTGGATTCTAAGGGAGACTCACGGCTAAGGAAGGTGGATGTGTTTGTGGTGTTGTGTTGTGTTGTGAATGAGATGATTTTTGAATGAATGAATGCAAGGGTATTTATAGGAGGAGTGGAGATGTATATGGCTATTTGTTTAAGGTGTTTGTGGTTGCAATGATGAAGAATTGCATGTGGAAATAAAAGGGAAAATGTGGTGAAATGATGAAGTAGGAAGGTGGAAATGCATGTGAGATGTTGGAAAGGAAATGGGAATATGAGTAGGCCATGGCATGGGAGTTGTTTTGTTGGTGTAAATGTGCCATGGTTGCAATGATGAAGAATAAAGGGTGCATGTGGGGTGGAATTGAATGAATGCAAAGTGAATGAATAATGAAATGAGTTAAAGAGGGAGAATGTGGTGAAATGATGAAGTAGGAAGGTGGAAATGCATGTGACTTGTTTGTGGAATAAAGAATGAATGGTGGAATGATGAAGAGTTACATAAAGAATGCATGTAGGGTTAGCTAGGTTGGCTTTGTTTGGGTGCATGTGTGTTAATGGTGGTTTTGCATGTGAATTGATGGATTGTTTTTTGATGGAATGGATGGTTCTTTGCATGGCTTTTGAAGTGATTGTGGGCTTTGGAATTGGAAGGAAATGCATGGCCTTGGGGTTGGTTTAAGAGAGAATGGGCTAGGCCCTTTGTTTTATGTCCAAAATGAATACAAGGCCTTCAAATTCGTCCAACACTTTGGCTCCAATCATATGCTATCCATTCCAAGCCCAATTTTGCTCCAAAATGCTCCAAAATGCATCTTTTTGCTTCCTTAGCCATATGAACCTAAAAACACACGAAAATGGCTTAAACTACTAAAACAACTATGAATTAACAACATAGATGCACGAAAACAAGCTAAGTAAGTCGCCTAAATATGCTCCTATCAGTCACCCATCCTAGGATTGCTCTAACCCAAACTTGCTTAACTTCGGAGCTCCTATGGAATCTGAAGTCAGTGAGTTCCCAAAAGGCCTCGTGCTATATGGAGGTGGGCATGTACATATAAGGCACATCACCCCCTCTCCGTTAATTGATGTGGGATCTTACATCACTCCACTGGCAATGTGGAATATAGATTTGTTTTTGCCGATACCGGAGCAGCTAAAGGCAGTACAGCTAAAGAAATATACTAAGTAGAGAACGAAGCGAACGAACTACCTTATTTCCCCTAGAGTTGTTTATTTTCCGCCTTTCGGTCAGATCGAGGTGGATTTGGTTGGACTTGCATAGCTACAAAATTTGAAAATTACTTAACTCCTGACATGTAAAAAAATCATCATCATTTTTTTGCATACGTAATTTATAGTGAAGAAGGAAAAGCTCATCGAATGCAAAGAACCAAATATTGTTCTATCTTAAACTTAGATTCAACCATTATTTTTTGTCCTTTTTATTGATACAATGATATATTAATATTAAAAAGAAATATTGTTAGATCATAGTACTAAATAAATATTAAGTTAATAAATCCTTCAACTTTATTTTTTTCAGTGAAAATAGTATGGTCACTTGGTGCACTATGGCCTAGAGAATTGGATTCAGAGTGACTCACTGTAACAACCTGTTCAGGAATTTATAAAACGGAAGGATATTTTCATATTTTCACTTTGGTGGGTTTCATTTGTTTAAAATATTGCTTTCTAAGTCTTACATTGTGTGCCACTTGGGGCCCACTTTCCTTTTTGGTTCCCTTCCCCCCCTCTTTTTTTCTTTTTCCTTTGGACACGTAAGTTCTCTCTCTCTCTCTCTCTCTCTCTCTCTCTCTCTCTCTCTCTCTTTCTCTCTCTCTCTTAACACTCTCATTTCTCTCCTTCTCACTTTCTCTTTCTCTCTATCCTTTCCCTCTCACTCCCGTGCCCTCTCTCTACAACTCTCCCTCCCCTCTCTGAGATCACACACAAACAATACAACAACTTAAA